ATAGTCAATGAACAGCATTCTTGCATAGGTACTCCTCTTGTCCAGATGGTATAATTTGAAAGCAACTGACATGATTAGCAACAACAACAGTTTCAGGGAATTTAATACGGTCTACTAAATGGTTATTTTTAAGACAGAGAGAGAGAGAGAGAGACAGAGAGAGAGTGATGGAGAGAGAAGGACATAGGACAGAGCTTAAGCCCCATGATCAAGGGGGTTAGCATCATTAGCATCATCAACAATAACTTAAACATTTTCAGAGATGTAATACTTTCTAATTATCTCCTGAATGGTGATTACTTGATGTTTACTGCTGTTTACAAGCAGCAGCAGAGAGAGAGAGAAGGGCGTATGCAAGCCAGTGTTAAGCCCTCTCAGAAATGCATTATATTTCCATAAACTCATTAGCTAACTGGCATTGACTTTGAACACAAACACACTCACACTCACACTATCTCTAAATCAATCAGCTAATGGAGGGAGTCAATGAGAGGGCTCAAAGCTGAGAGGAGGCATATTCATTATAACAGCCCCAGTACAACAAACAGACTGTAGAACATCTCTGCAGAAACAGTACATCTTTCACAAGACATTTCACAAGACATTCACATTCTCAACATTAATTCATTCCAAATCAGCGCGTCATAGGACAGGATACCATCACAAAAAGACTAAGGCCCTTTTCCAATAAAAGTGAGGACCTATCATTTGAAAGCAACCAGACTCAAAATCAAACTCAAAGACTGTTTTTCTTTCTTTCCTGCTGTGTTGTCCTAACGTGGAATCTAGTGCCTCACACAGCACACTAGGCTAGCCTCATTCTCCCTGGGACCTATACTCCATCTGTGGTAGTCGCTCCCCAGAACTTTTATGTAACTGGCCTGTGGATCCATTGCAGCGTGGCTGGGCGACACACGATGAGGCAGACTGGATTAATCTGTCCTGCCCAGGGAAGAGGGGGACGAAGGGGGACTTGGTGGGTTGTGGAGCTGGGTTATCTGGGACCACCAAGGGCCTGAGGCAGTAGAGGCAGTATAGTGACACACACAGGAACAGGAAAATCCACTGTGTGTGTCAGTGACCTAATGACCAGTAACGAGCGACTGGCGAATTCAACCCGACTGACTGGGCCAATAACATATACTGAAGTGTGAACCCTTTATACAAGACTTCTAGAACTTCTAGCCTGAGTAGCACTCTGATGTTAATACCACCATCGTCCATACATCTATTATGCATCTATGATCTATTCATCCGTATCAGCATCCTTATTTATTGATGCCTCATGTTTTCAGTAAGCAGGCTGTTTAGCTGCGCCCTCACTCTGCAGTGTTGTGCAGTAACATCACAAGCTGCCACTGTGGGTGAGAGAACACAATGGATGTGAGAGAGGGAGCACATTTCAGGACACACTGACTGGTTTGTGGTTTGGCTCTGTCTCTCCTCAGCTACCAGCAACCATCCACTCCGAGCCCTCTCAATGGCTAGAGCGCCTGTCCGTCATCTCAACACCCCACCATCCACAGCACAGCACAGTCCTCTCATTAAATAATCATACAGGCCAGCCGACAGAGCTTCACCACCAGTTTGACGGCTGCTTTGGGGATTCTCTTTCTCCTGCCGCAATGACAATGAACACAACATCCATAATTAAAAGGCGTCTCTGTAGCATTCGTATACGTTCATGAGTCGTGTTTCACAAGCAATATTCTTGTATAGCAATATTCACAGAGGAAGCCTCAAGTAAATAAAGTTGGCATATCCCATTTGAAGAAAAAAGCTCTTGAGGTTTGAGAGAAGTGTGACAGGTATTATGTAATATCCCCACAGGACAGGAAACACCATGAGTAGAGGTTATGGTTGACATGAACATGTTGATGAGTCACACATCAGCACATTATGTTTTCGCATGAGAAACATCCCGCAGCCAGACAGCAGAAATAATCTCCCTCAGAAAGAAGACTTTGTTCTGACACCTTGTTTTTTCACAGAGTAGCGAGCGCATCGTGGCGTCTGTTGTAGAACGTTGGTGTGATTATTCACCGAGGCGACGGTTAGAGCAACAGAAAAAAAGAAGGCAGAGGCTACAAATGAGGAGTTCTTGCCCCTGCGCCGCCCCTCTGGAAACTTCTTTCTCAAATCTCTGTATCTTTAGTACAAAACTTCCAGGTCCCAGAAAATCCGGAACTACAACCACTCCTAAAAAAAGAAAGCCCCTCTGTCCTCCCCTGTGGCAGCTGGGTCTGTCTACACGTGCGCGCGCACACACACACACACACACACACACACACACACACACACACACACACACACACACACACACACACACACACACACAGGGAGTCCCCTCATTGCTTCTCTATAATCCATGGGCTATTAACTACAACAAGATCACATTACCCATGATGCATGGCATGCAATCAACCCCAACAGTAGCATCCTTCCTCAAGTCCTCTTATCTGCCACCAGGCAAGCACTCTTTCCGTCACCTGGGGAGGATTACCGTTACCATGGAAACCAAGCTAAGCGACGTATGACTCTATAAGGCCTGTGTTTACTAGCTCTAGCAGCTCTACCCCCCACGCTCACTGCTGCTTTGACACCTGAGCTGGGCAAACTCCAGGGAGACATTGAAAATATTAATTACACGCCTGTTAACTGCCCCCTAAGCCGTTCTCCAACAGAACAGCATATCTCCAGTTATATGACAAACACTCTTTCAGTGTTTGGAAGATTAAGACAACCGCTTGCGCTGTCGCCATGATGCTCTGTGTGGGAGATGGCCCACAATAAATATGAATCAGCTGTGTAGTGATAGGGCAACAACCAGAATGTGCACCGAGGGGGGGCCCCAGAACCCAGTTTGGGAAACCCTGGCCTAAAGAATAGATATTTAAAAAAATACGTAGGGAACTTGGCATTTCTCCTCTTTCCATTTACTAAATCACATGATTTCATGTCTTCTAAATCCAGGCTCTGGTTAATGACGCTGGTTGATCAAAAGGTTGAAGAAATTATGTCCAAGACCTGATGAAACAGAGTTAGATTATCGTTCTTTTTTAATCATAAACTCTGTTTCTCCTCTCTGCGATAAGCATCTTTAGCTACTGTTCTCAGAATCTGTAGTAGAGGAATCTGCCTTGGTGGGTCCTAATAATGCAGCATACTACCGGTGGTTTAAGCTCAACACAAAGACAAGGCTGTGGTAGTTGATCTTGAGGGCCAACAGAGGTTGTATCATAAGATAACACGAGTATACTACGCTCCATTTACTCAACCATTAACAGAACAGAACTAAGAGCCATGCTGTAACAACTGAGCATCTCTTTATATACCTGTTAATGATGCATGAACTGAGTGAGTCAGTGAGTATCTGAACTTATCAACTGGTTTTGAATCTTAGCATACAGCTTGTCTGGCTCCCATCTAGGAGATGAAACACTGTCGGTTGCAAGTGAAAGCATCATTGAGCTAATAATCTTTTTTTTTATGGAGTAGATCAGCTTAATATTGCAGATAGATTGTAACTTCCATCAATGTAATTGTCTGCATCACTTCCAATCCCCCATGTTTAAATATATATGTATATGTATGTATATACACACATATATACATACATATACATATATACATATATACACACATACATACATACACACATACACACACATACATACATACATACATACACATACATACATACATACATACATACATACACATACATATCCTTTTTTTTTATATATATATATTCCCCTTTATTACTTTCCAACCTCACCACCCCTTCTCTAATTGGAGTAAACTAGTGTACAACAATGCTTAGGCCTCTACTTCCAGCTTATACATACTATATACATTTTATGGACACAGTCAATTTTACAATAATTATATTTTGTTTGTTTTTTTCTCCGGAACTTCTTCTACTATCAACCTCTCCGATCATTTTCATGATGTCCATCCGGTTTGCTTCTATATGCCATTTCTTTCTAACTGTGCTCTTTCACAAAAGCTCCCAACCTACAACCTATATACTTATTATGGACACAGTATGCTTACATTATTAGTTATCTTGTTATTAGTTGTTGTTAGTTGTTATTAGTCCCATCCTTCAACTCCATTCAACACCACCCATCTATCTCTTAACACCATCCATATAAGAATTATATTTGCCATATATTTTTCAACTGTACTGTGATGTTTCACAAAAGTTCTGAACCTTTCTATTCTCATTGTTTCTACAGATTGTAAATTGAAAATAAACATTTTTGCTAAAAGTATTATTATATTATTGATCGATTGACTATGACTTTTCAGATCACCCAGTAATGCTATCTGCAAGGTTAGCTCCAGGTAAATATTGCAATCCTTTAGCCATTCCTGGACCTGTGTCCAAAAACAAGCTACAAATGGACAGTACCACGGCCGTTATTGTCTTTGTTTTGTTGATGAAGCAGAAGTGAGGAGCGCTGGGGGAGTATCGCGCAACAAGGTAAAACAAATTGCATTACATATGCTGCTTACGCGTGCTATGATGTACGAGGGAAAAAACAGTGTTTGTTGTAGCAGTTTCACCATTAAGGATTACAGCTTTAAGCCTATGACATAAACCTAGAGAAAAGCCTGTCTTTCTCCATAAGTGAGACAAGCCTGCAGCGTGAATGTCCAGGCTGCCTGCAACCTTGACCGAGGATAAACCTGTGTGCACCTAAGCGTGACAGTAACCATTTGTGAAAAGGCCCAGCAGCCAAGCGGCTCTAAAAGGCAATGTGTGAGACGCTGCAGAAAGTTTGCTCTGCCTGTCTGACTATATGCAAGGAGGGAAGTTACGCTTTGAACTTTTAGACTCTTGTTTCCTAGCAACAGGGAAATCTGTGAGCCTTATTGAGCCTAAGGGGGAACATTAGACTACATGTCTCATTGATTTCAAGAGTTTCATCGGGGACATCCTGACCTGAAACAGATCAGCTCCAACTCCCACTGGTTAATGTGTATCTCTGACTGTGCCTACAGACGATGAAAGGATACATTCCAAGGATGACAGCTTCAAGGCATTTGATTGGAAGAGATTCCCTGATCATTTCTCTCGCAGTCTCCATCAACCTGAAAGGGAACAGAGATGATTGTAGAGAATATTATTGTTTCATACAATGTCCTCTTTGGTGCTTTATGCAGAAGATGACACAATGGTATTATCTCACCAAACAGGATTACAACAAACCCCTGTTTGATTGTGTCAAGTACAAGCCAAGCACATTAATGAAAACACCATCTTCTAAATACAATGACCCCTTTTACTTATTTTCTATAAAACGTTAAATGTCCTGGCTGTTTTTGCAGTACATGCACCTAGCATGTGTACTCAGGGTGAAGGACACAGACAGAGGCAGAGGATGGCTATTTTGAACATCTGAACTGGCCTATATTCTTCTACAGACAAATGTGGATTCACAGAGTAGTGGGACCTCTCTCCTGGCTCTGTAAAGTAGCGGCAGCCAAAGAAAAGCCAATGAAAATACCACAGAAATGGCCTCACAGCCTCACTTACCCACACAATGGTCTGGTTTTCCTTATCTCAAAGAACTGAGTTCCTGTGTGATTGTATCTGACAGACAGTTAAGGGAATGTACGTTATTTATGATGAGGGATAACTGGAGAACCTCTCTGAAATGAAAATGGATTGCCCTCCCTTCAGTAAAATATATTTTTACCCGACCCTCCCTGAACACTTGAAAGAAAACAAGTGACTCTCCATTGTACCCAAAATAATAATTTAAACATAAAGTGGATAGCAGAGAACATGCCTACCATTTACCCTCACTCCTAGGACAGCCAAGTTTGATTTCATTTGATTTGATCCTCAAACCAAAGACTGGCCAAACTCGTGTTTCTAAATGACTGTATAGCCTAATAAGGCATTTTTCGTTTCATTATTATTTAATTCTAAGTAATATATATAAATGCAATTCAATACAGCCTAAATGCAAAATGTATAGGTGAAAAATCTGTCGATGTGCCCTTGAGCAAGGCACTTAACCCTAATTGCTCCTGTAAGTCGCTCTGGATAAGAGCGTCTGCTAAATGACTAAAATGTAAATGTATAGGCATGTTATTGAAGTGTTGTTGAAATGCTGAGAGCTCCTGCCAGCCTGTAGCGTGTCACAAATTCTTCACAATTGATTTCTTATATGGCAGGCTATAGCCTTGAAATAATAATAATATAGCCTAAATAATTCATTTGTGTTCCTTCTTAGGCTACCTGGCTTGCTCCTGACTGATTTAGAGTTAGTATGTTGTTTAATAGCCTGTTGAAATGTCAAACGTCAATTGATAGTGACAGAATCACACATTACTTCTCAAGCAGTCCATGTTTTGTCTCCTGGGCTATAGAAGGTTGTAGTGCAGCCTCTGGATGTCATAGAGACAAACCAGATGACCTGGCCTCCACAATCATCCAACCTCAACCCAATTGAGATGGTTTGGGATGAGTTGACCACAGAGTGAAGGAAAAGCAGCCAACAAGTGCTCAGCATCTGTGGGAACTTCTTCAAGACTTTTGGAAAAGCATTCCAGGTGAAGCTGGTTGAGAGAATGCCAAGAGTGTGCAAAGCTGTCATCAAGGCAAAGGGTGGCTATTTGAAGAATCTCAATGAGTAGGTGCGTCCAAACTTTTGACTGGTACTCTATATAATCTGAAGACGCCTTTGACTCGCCTCCTGAACTGCCACCGTACACAGCACAGTCATTGGTTAGGCAGTACAAAAGGGTTTACATCAGCAAGAGCAGGGCAGGCCAGGGCTCATGATTGGGATAGCCTATCCATTGCAGTGTGTAATGCAGTGTAGCCTAGTTTTAAATACACCATCCCAGCAGCGCAAAAACTCAGGAAGGAAGTACATTTTCTTCAAATATTACTTTGCCCTGTGCTTCTTCGAGCATGCTCTTCATATAGCCTAGGCTATGGATCATTTTATTGAGATCACACTAGACGCACTTGATATTGCGTGCCCAGCAGAGAATCAGGGATAAGGGGCATCATCGGGCACACATCGAGATACTATAATAAGCAACTCATTCTCAAACACTGAGCAATATGACATTTAATCGATTACAAATTACATGACCCTCCCCTGGACTTAATTAAAACATACTAAACCTTCCCCCTGACTGAAATTGAAAAAGCATGACCCTCCCCCATTTTCCTCTGGGTAACAATTGTGTACATTTCGACCGCTCCCTAAGTGGCATTCATAGGGGTCTGGAAGAATATATAAGTGTGGATGAGAGGGAAATGGTGGACGTTTCTGAGATCAGGTTCATGTAATGTAGGCTACGGGTTTATGAATGTTTGAGAGAAATGTAACTGTACCTTGAAGACCTAATTCATTTATGTATTTCCTCACTGTTGTGTGTCAAGTTAACTCAAATTAATTTGAAGACTATGTCCACTCTCCACCTGAATGTGTCTACTCTAGTGAACAAAGTGAAGTTGACAGTTAATTGACAGTTGTTGGGAGGTTTTTTATTAAGAGGGGCAACTGGTCGTTTTTTGTAAAGCGCTGACCGCTTCTTGACCCCACAGTGGTGCATCATGGATCATATTTATTATGGGCATTAAAGGTACTGTGACATTGTTTACAGACCCAGGGAGCACCTGTTGCTATGGCAGTTGGTGCACCTGCACTCCCCTGGCTACAATCACAAAAAATTAAGCCCACCTGAAAACCTTGAAAGTGTTAGCTAGCTAACACACTGCATACATACAGTACAACTCCCAGGGCTCCAGAGTGAATTAAAACAGTGTGAAAAGAGCAGCGGTGCACATTCATCTGTAATGAGCTATAGGAGGACACTGTGTGCTAACAGGTACTGTGGCTTCTCTCTTCTCAACGTGGTCTCAGGGCAATTCTTATTATTCTGTATGTAAATCTGTGACACTCCATTTAGTATGATATGTTACGTTATGTTAAATTATGAATGGTCTAGCGGTCGTACAATATCATACAAATTAGAGGACGTATAGTTTCATACACCTTATCCGGTCGTACAATAACATACGAATTGGATGGTTTAACTTATCATACATCCTGGAGGGCGTATAGTTTTATATGTCTTTCTCTGAGACCAGGTTGCTTGTTGCGTCATAACAACAGAGGAGAATTATGGGGAGAATTTACGTTGGTGGTTAGGCGAACTAAAGCGACAAAGGTTAGGTGAATTTACGTAGCAGGTTAGGTGAATTGGGTTAAGGTTAGAACAAGGGTTTGGGGAAGGGTTAGCTAAAATGCTACAGTTGTCCCCGACGCTAATCGAACACGCAACCTTTGGATTGCTAGAAGGTCACGGATTACACCTACCCATCCTCCCCGACCAACCTCCCTACTTTTGTTTCTGTCTAAAGTAACTAGACCATTAGTAGGTATCATACGTCTTGGCTCTGAGGCCAGGCTGCTCTTCTCAGTGTGTTCTGTGAACAGGGGATGAGAGAGGAGGGGAAGGGAGGGGTGGTGGCAGGTTACGGGCTCGGCAGGGAAAGGATACTGCAGTGTCTTCATGTAGTTCTGGATGGCCAGCAGCCAATCAGGGACAGACATGGAGGGCTTGAAGTTGGGGACCGATGGCACAGGGTGCTGTAAGTTGACAAATAAAGACTGTTAGAGTTTATCTTGGTGGTGGAAACATAAACATGTGGCAATATTGAGAAACTCTGTAAAACAGCTGTAATGACTATGACTGGTGCTGTGCTTCCTCTGACATGCCTTGGAATTTGGCTCATAAAATGTTTGGCTTCCTTTTTACTGTACAGTCATTGACTCAGAACCAGAAAAACACATGTACTGCATGTGTGTGTGGTGTGTGTGTGTGTGTGTGTGTGTGTGTGTGTGTGTGTGTGTGTGTGTGTGTGTGTGTGTGTGTGTGTGTGTGTGTGTGTGTGTGTGTGTGTGTGTGTACAGGAAGGAGGCCCAGGGGGCACAGTAGACATAAAGCCATGTAATTTCCTCTGGGTTGTTTCTCTCAACAGAGCTGGAATTAGCTTATCTGAAGAGTCTGGTCTCAGGCTCAAGACAAACAGTTTAGCCCTCTGGCTCAGTCACACAACTCTACTACGTTCTACTTGGAAAGCCTGAGGTGATAGATCAAGAGTCAAGACATTTCCTTTCCAGGATGTTAGGCTTTCTAGGTAATAATGTTTTGGTCTATTTCTCTGATGAGTCAATGGCACACACACACACACACACACACACACACACACACACACACACACACACTGGTCCTATCAATCAGGTTTCTGTGGTATCTGACTCAACAGAGAACAATACAGCCACTGGATCAAAGGGCTGACAGGCAAAGAGAAAGAGAGAGTGAGAGATAGCAAATGTGTATATTTTGTGTGGGGGGTGGAGAGGAAAAGAGAAACCCAAACCCATCAAGGTGAGATGAAAATAAGATTAGGTTTGTCCTTCATCGGCCCTCTACCCCGAACAGGTTGGCTCATCAGCCCTCTACCCCCAACAGATAGGGCTCATCAGCCCTCTACCCCCAACAGATAGGGCTCATCAGCCCTCTACCCCCAACAGATAGGGCACATCAGCCCTCTACCCCCAACAGATAGGGCTCATCAGCCCTCTACCCCCAACAGATAGGGCACATCAGCCCTCTACCCCCAACAGATAGGGCTCATCAGCCCTCTACCCCCAACAGGTAGGGCTCATCGGCCCTCTACCCCCAACAGATAGGGCTCATCAGCCCTTTACCCCCAACAGATAGGGCTCATCAGCCCTTTACCCCCAACAGATAGGGCTCGTCAGCCCTCTACCCCAAACAGATATGGCTAAGCTCTCTTAGTAGACACCCTTATCCAGAGAGACTTAGAGCAGCAATTAGGGTTGAGTGCCTTGCTCAAGGGCACATCAACAGATTTTTCACCTAGTCGGCTCGGGGATGTGAACCAGCGGCCTTTCGGTTACTTGCCCAGCGCTCTTAACCACTAGGCTACCTGCCGCACACAGCCTCATTTTAAAAGCATCACATCAAAGCTGTGCAAGTGAAATGAAAAGCAGAAAGATGAGGGGAATATTCAGCAGTCAGTGGCATTGGGTCTTATTTCTCAGTAATCCCTCAAACAATTGCCCCGCAAGCCCTATCTCCATTGCCGAGAGCCTGGAACGGAACAGAATTCTGCTGGGTCAGGGAAGGAATACGGGGTGATTCCTTTCTTCTCTCCCTCTCTTTATCTCTCTCTCTCCACAGCATAGAGAGCAATGAGAGAATGAGTGCTAACTGAGAAAGGGCCCTCCTAGTTACTTGGGATCAGCCATCTTCTCAAAGTGTAGCCTACCACACCACATATAGAAATGTAATAACACTTCATTGATCATTAATAGAACAATGTACATTTGATGAAAACACTAGTGATTTTGTTATTTAGATGCAGTGTTACTGTTTAGTGTTTAGTTGAGTGCAACACACAGTGCTCCCAAATCACCCTGTGTAATTAGCTGTCCTCCTGCGCCTCTTTCTCTCCTTCCCTCTGGAGAAGAGGAGGGCGCCCTGCGGAGCCCAGAGAACTACTGGAGCTGAACGAACGAGTGTGTGATTCACATCTTTATTCCTCATTATAAGGTGTGAAAGAGGTTCTTATAAAAGGGGGACAGTTACGCAGAGGGAAATGGAGAGCTTGTGGCAGTGGCACAAGCTTTGAAAAGTAGATTGAATTTCTGCCTCAGCACTGCAGTAAGCTGGATAGTATTAACACCTGGCGACCTCACTGAGCAAGGCTGAGGCTGACAATTCATGGTCTGTCTGTAGCCGTACTGTATGCTCCTCACAGGTGAACCTGCAGGAATTAAAATATAGTTCAAAGAGGGACTTTCTCCCTTTCCGTCCAGCTGTCCCTCACCCCTTCTGCATCTTTTCCCCAGCTTTAGAGAGGTCTTCTGTGGGGGAAAAAGGCGACCTGCCCCCCTGTGTGGTGGATCTAATCTAACTTTACATCCCCAGGGCACATCAGTGAAACTTGAGAGATCCAGCCAAGATGTGACTGCAGCACCAAACACCCTGGGCATTTGTCTCTCTCAAGAAGACAGTTGGGCATTGGTCAGAGACTATCTTTAGAGCATGATAGCTTGCGGTTTTCATGTGATGTGCATGTAAGCAGAGCCTGTGTAACTACTTATTTACAGTTACCAGAAAACATTAGCTTGAACCTTCTCCCATAGGAATGCAACAAAAACAAATACCTAAATGATTCTTCATACAGTAGCACCACGTTTGGAGATCAGTTCAGTTCTAACCAAATCCTGTCGTGACGCAATGTGATTTGGTTTATGTAGAAAATACATTTCAATGTTGTTAATACACAAAGTAACGGATAAATTGATCTAATTCGCATATTCATAATGAGTTTGCAACAAATATGCAGCAAACAGTAGAATGTTCACCACAAGTTTCCCAGAATCGTTTGCCAGAAATTCACAAGTCGCTGCAAAATTGCTACGTTTTGCTATAAAACAAAATATGAGCTTGCTGCAAATTTGCATCAAATCGGCCAAAGATTTGCCACATCCGTTTTCCAGAAGCCAGTTTTTCGGTAAGGGTGAGGTGTGTATAATGTACGTTTGAAACAGAAAGGAAGGATTTGGGCTGAAAGCCTGTTTTGTTTCCTGTACAAAGCTTTATGGAAACAATTAGGCGATAGGGATTATCCTAGACTCAAATCCCTGATGGTGGATTAGTTAGCTCATAACCAACCCCTTCAAATAATCAGGGCAAAGGACGGGCACAAAGCTCAAGCAGTGGTGTTACCATTCCTGACAACATCAATAGAGAATAACAGAGGAATACAGTATTTCAGGAGAGTTAAATCTGATAACTTCTTACCAACATGCCATTTAGGTGGGACAGTGGAACCAAATTTACAAAACAATGAATGGCTAAATACTTAAAATCCTAACCCTTTTCTTCATGTAAGATGAATGGATGCAATCAATGAATGGATCACGAGACACACTTTGATCACACCTCCTCAGAGTGTTAGCTTGCATTCAGTGCTGCAGGGAGATGCAGCTTGAGATTTCACAGGATTCTCTCTGTAGCCTATAGCTCTATACAGTTGAAATCGGAAGTTTACATACACTTAGGTTGTAGTCATTAAAACTCGTTTTTCAACCACTCCACAAATTTCTTGTTAACAAACTATAGTTTTGGCAAGTCGGTTAGGACATCTACTTTGTGCATGACACAAGTAATTTTTCCAACAATTGTTTACAGACAGATTACTTCACTAATAATTCACTGTATCACAATTCCAGTGGGTCAGAAGTTTACATACACTAAGTTGACTGTGCCTTTAAACAGCTTGGAAAATTCCAGAAAATGATGTCATGGCTTTAGAAGCTTCTGATAGGCTAATTGACATCATTTGAGTCAACTGGATGTCACGGTCGTGTGAAGGAATTGACCAAGGCGCAGCGTGTGAAACGAACATGGTACTTTATTTAGTTAAAGCACGGAAAAACAAGAAACACGACTAGTAAAGTCCACAGTCAACCTGACTGAAACGGAAACAAAAACCCACAACCCCACAGGAAAACATACAGAAATAAATATGGCTCCCAATCAGAGATAACGAGCCGAACAGCTGACACTCGTTACCTCCGATTGGGAGTCATTGAACAAACCTAGAAAAACAACAACCTAGACACCCAACATAGAACACAAACACATAGACTGCACACACCCTGGATAAACAATAATGAGTCCCAACACCAGGGTGTGACAGTACCCCCCCCTAAAGGCGCGCACTCCGGGCGCACCAGCATACAGTCTCGGGGAGGGTCTGGGTGGGCGTCTGTCCACGGTGGTGGTTCTGGCTCCGGCCTAGACCACCACCCCACCATAGTCACTTCCCGCTTATGTAGCCTCCTCCAAATGACCCCCACCGGTTTAAGGGGCAGCACCTGACTAAGGGGCAGTACCGGACTAAGGGGCAGTACCGGACTAAGGGGCAGTACCGGACTAAGGGGCAGTACCGGGCTAAGGGGCAGCACCGGGCTAAGGACCAGCACCGGGATAAGGACCAGCACCAGGCTAAGGAACAGTACCTGACTAAGTGGCAGCACCGGACTGAGGGGCAGCTCCGGACTGAATGGCGGATCCTGGCTGGCTGGCTCTGGCGGATCCTGCTGCTCATGGCTGGCTGACGGATCTGGCTGCTCATGGCAGGCGGAAGGCTCTGGCTGATCCCGTCTGGCGGAAGGCTCTGGCTGATCCGGTCTGACGGAAGGCTCTGGCTGCTCCTGTCTGGCGGAAGGCTCTGGCTGATCCTGTCTGACAGAAGGCTCTGGCTGATCCTGTCTGGCGGAAGGCTCTGGCTTATCCTGTCTGGCGGAAGGCTCTGGCTGATCCTGTCTGGCGGAAGGCTCTGGCTGATCCTGTCTGGCGGAGAGCTCTAGCGGCTCCGATCTGGCGGACGGCTCTGAAGGCTCATGGCAGACGGGCGGCTTTGTAGGCTCTGTACAGACGGGTAGTTCAGACGGCGTTGGGCAGACGGACAGTTCAGACGGCGTTGGGCAGACGGACAGTTCAGACGGCGTTGGACCGACAGGCAGTTCAGACGGCGTTGGGCAGACGGACAGTTCAGGCCCCGTTGGGCAGACGGACAGTTCAGGCCCCGTTGGGCAGACGGACAGTTCAGGCCCCGTTGGGCAGACGGCAGACTCTGGCCGTCTGAGGCGCACCGTAGACTTAGTGCGGGTGGCCGGAACAGGCCGGGTCGGGTTGGCGACGCGCACCGTAGTCTTGGTGCGGGTGGCCGGAACAGGCCGGACCGGGCTGGCGACGCGCACCGTAGTCTTGGTGCGGGTGGCAGGAGCAGGCCGGGTCGGGCTGGCGACGCGCACCGTAGTCTTGGTGCGGGTGGCCGGAACAGGCCGGACCGGGCTGGCGACGCGCACCGTAGTCTTGGTGCGGGTGGCAGGAGCAGGCCGGGTCGGGCTGGCGACGCGCACCGTAGTCTTGGTGCGGGTGGCCGGAACGGGCCGGACCGGGCTGGCGACGCGCACCGTAGTCTTGGTGCGGGTGGCAGGAGCAGGCCGGACCGGGCTGTGGAGACGGATAGGAGGCCTGGAGCGAACAGCGGACACCACCCGTCCTGGCTGAATGCCTACCTTCACACACTCTGTGTGAGGCATCAGCACAGGACGTACAGGGCGGTGTACCCCTGGCCTGGTGGCCTCCTGGATACTCCCCCTTTTCTCCTCCGTCAGCCCCGTCGTCCATGCCGTGTGCCCCCCCCTAAAAAATTTCTGGGGTTGACACACGACCCTCTGACGATGAACCTGCTGCCGCCGATGCTCCTCTCTCGCCAGGGCCTTGATCCTTCCCCAAGGTCCCTTGCCTCCGAGCATGTCCTCCCAGGACCACGATGTGCCCACCTGGGCCATCGCCAGCCTCTCCATCTCTTTGCCCGGCGCCTCCTCCCATGTCCAGTCACCTTGCTCCTGGACACGCTGCTTGGTCTTTCTCTGGTGGGTTTTTCTGTCACGGTCGTGTGAAGGAATTGACCAAGGCGCAGCGTGTGAAACGAACATGGTACTTTATTTAGTTAAAGCACGGAAAAACAAGAAACACGACTAGTAAAGTCCACAGTCAACCTGACTGAAACGGAAACAAAAACCCACAACCCCACAGGAAAACATACAGAAATAAATATGGCTCCCAATCAGAGATAACGAGCCGAACAGCTGACACTCGTTACCTCCGATTGGGAGTCATTGAACAAACCTAGAAAAACAACAACCTAGACACCCAACATAGAACACAAACACATAGACTGCACACACCCTGGATAAACAATAATGAGTCCCAACACCAGGGTGTGACACTGGAGGTGTACCTGTGGATGTATTTCAAGGCCTACCTTCAAACTCAGTGCCTCTTTGCTTGACATCATGGGAAATTCAAAAGAAATCAGCCAAGACCTCAGAAAAAAATGTGTAGACCTCCACAAGTCTGGTTCATCCTTGGGAGCAATTTCCAAACGCCTGAAAGTACCATGTTCATCTGTACAAACAATAGTACGCAAGTATAAACACCATGGGACCATGCAGCCGTCATACCACTCAGGAAGGAGACGCGTTCTGTCTCCTAGAGATGAACGTACTTTGGTGCGAAAAGTGCAAATCAATCCCAGAACAACAGCAAAGGACCTTGTGAAGATGCTGGAGGAAACAGGTGCAAAAGTATCTATATCCACAGTAAAACAAGTCCTATATCGACATAACCTGAAAGGCCGCTCAGCAAGGAAGAAGCCACTGCTCCAAAACCGCCATAAAAAAGCCAGAATACAGTTTGAAACTGCACATGGGGAGAAAGGTCGTACTTTTTCGAGAAATGTCCTCTGGTCTGATGAAACAAAAATAGCACTGTTTAGCCATAATGACCATTGTTATGTTTGGAGGAAAAAGGGGGTTGCTTGCAAGCTGAAGAACACCATCCCAACCGTGAAGCACAGGGGTGGCAGCATCATGCTGTGGGGGTGCTTTGCTGCAGGAGGGACTGGTGCACTTCACAAAATAGATGGCATCATGAAGAAGGAAAATTATGTGGATATATTGAAGTAACATCTCAAGACATCAGTCAGGAAGTTAAAGCTTGGTCGCAAATGGGTCTTCCAAATGGACAATGACCCCAAGCATACTTCCAAAGTTGTGGCAAAATGGCTTAAGGACAACAAAGTCAAGGTATTGGAGTGGCCATCACAAAGCCCTGACCTCAATCCTATAGACAATTTATGGGCAGAACTGAAAAAGCGTGTGCGAGCAAGGAGGCCTACAAACCTGACTCAATTACACCAGCTCTGTCAGGAGGAATGGGCCAAAATTCACCCAACTTATTGTGGGAAGCTTGTCGAAGGCTACCAAAAATTTGACCCAAGTTAAACAATTTAAAGGCAATGCTACCAAATACTAATTGAGTGTATGTAAACTTCTGACCCACCTGGAATGTGATGAAATAAATAAAAGCTGAAATAAATCATTCTCTCTACTATTATTCTGACATTTCACATTCTTAAAATAAAGTGTTAATTTACTAGGATTAAATGTCAAGAATTGTGAAAAACTGAGTTGAAATGTATTTGGCTATGGTGTATGTAAACTTCCGACTTCAACTGTATGAATACACTTGAGCTCCACAGACAGCACTGCAATGCTCATTCCTCCACACAGTCACCCAGACGCTGACCCTGGATTTGAGATTGTCCCTGAGCTGCCTTGCTGTAATTTCCTTAATGAGTTAGCTAGCCCAACACCTGCACCTGGAGATCTCAGGCAGGGTTCAATATAGGTCACTGTTACTTCTGGGATATTAATGACTCCACTCTCCTTTCACACTTATTAGGCCATTTATGTTTCTCAAAACAGTTTTGGATTACAGACTAATATACTGAAAAATATATAAACGCAACATGTAAAGTGTTGGTCCCATGTTTCATGAGCTGAAATAAAAGATCCCAGAAATGTTCCATACGCACAAAAACGTATTTCTCTAAAATGTAGTACACAAATTTGTTTACATCCCTGTTAGTGAGCATTTCTCCTTTGCCAAGATAATCCATCCACCTGACAGGTGTGGCATATCAAGGCTGATTAAACAGCATGATCCTTACACAGGTGCACCTTGTGCTGCAGACAATAAAAGGCCACTCTAAAATGTGCTGTTTTGTCACACAGCACAATGCCACAGATGTCTCAGGTTTTGAGCGAGCGTGCAATTGGTATGCTGACTGTAGGAATGTCCACCAGAGCTGTTGCCAGAGAATTTAATGTTAATTTCTCTACCATAGCCTCCAATGTCGTTTTCGAGAATTTGGCAGTACGTCCAACCGGCCTCACAACCGCAGACCACGTGTAACTTTCCCAGCCCAGGACCTCCACATCCGGCTTCTTCACCTGCGGGATCGTCTGAGACCAGCCTCCTGGACAGCTGATGAAACTGTGGGTTTGTACAACTGAAGAATTTCTGCACAAACTGTCTCAGGATCTGTACACAATTCCTGGAAGCTGAAAATGTCCCAGTTCTTCCATTTCCTGCATACTCACCAGACATGTCACCCATTGAGCATTTTTGGGATGCTCTGGATCGACATATTTGACAGCGTGTTCCAGTTCCAACCAATATCCAGTAACTTCACACAGCCATTGAAGAGGAGTGGGACAACATTCCACAGGCCACAATCAACAGTCTGATTAACAGTCTGATTAACTGAAAAAGAGGCAAATGGTGGTCACACCAGCTACTGACTGGTTTTCTGATCCACGCCCCTACCTTTTTTTAAGGTATCTGTGACCAACAGATGCATATCTGTATTCCCATTCATGTGAAATTCATAGATTAGGCCCTAATGAATTTATTTGAATTTACTGATTTCCTTATATGAATTGTAACTCAGTAAAATCTTAGAAATTGTTGCATGTTGCGTTTATATTTTTGTTCAGTGTAGTATGGCGTAGCAATGCGTAATACAACTACAGTCCCCTATTCACTAAGGCGTAGTCTATAGATAGTGTTTTTATTGGTTTATTAAGGCAGTTATTAAGGCAGTGTGATGGACAATGGTATGATATGACAAGAGTGAAATCCCACAGCACTGTGCAGGCCTACAGGTTTCTCAGCTAAATACTGCTATTGTGGACTGCCAAAATGTAGTTCATAAGAAACCCTGAACATAAAAGAAAGTGTCACTGTCCCTTGGTGATACTATAAAACACTAAAACAGCCTCTGGTCATAATTCCAATAACTTATACAGAGGCAGCATCAAGAAAGGACACAGACTGGGGCAAATACAAAGATTCCTGTGTGCATTGTCATATGCTCTGCTGTTTATATAGCCTACAGTGTGCTATGAATTTGGGATTTGCCATCACATGTACTAATTTCCAGTGTACCAATTAGTGATGCTCCAGTGTCTCCTTTCTCAGCCCAGTCCCACTCCCACCAGTGACAGCAAGAGAGACACTCTCAACACTGGTCCCCGCTTGGTGACACTCAGTCCCAGTTATGTCTGGCCTCTGATGAATTTACGCAGAGACAATATAGTGAGTGTCCTATTAGAGGCCAGGGGCAGGCTGAAATAGCCTTAAATTCATTATTCATTCCTCCACAGGATAATTAGGAAAGAGAAAGACTTTCAGGAGGAACTCTTTTACATTTACATTTACATCATTTAGCAGACACTCTTATCCAGAGCGACTTTAAACTCTTCAACTCATCCTGCTATTGTCCTGTGAACAGGTTGATGAATTCTTTGCATAGATGGAATTTCAAATTATGTCTGTTGAATTGCAATATGAAACATATGTCTGTTGGTTATAACTTGGTAATTGCCCAGGATTGTATGACAATATACATGCTTATTTGTCTGGCTTTTAGGCTATACTTACTTTAGGAAGGTATGCAGCATTCCTTATCTTGCTAATGTCTTGTCCATCAGGGTGTACTTTGGCCACATGAGTCCACATCCTCTCCCAAGTGACACCCTCAATGGGAAAACCAGTTCTGTTCACGTAAAATAGCACACCCCCATCTTTCTCCTCTTCCTCTCCCGATGAACGTCCAGCGTTGTTGGGGGTGCTAAGGGTGGCAGATTCAGCACCCGGGCTCGAGTTGCAGTACGTACTGCCACTGGTGCTTTTGGATCGGTGCCTCCCCATTTTAGCTGCAGATGAACAAGTGCTAGTGGCGTTGGGTCCAGTCATTGTTCAATTCAAAAGTGGGGGTCCTGGCAGATGGCAGCCCGTGATGATTCGTCTTGCTTTTGTCAATAACCCAGGTTTGCTATAACAAACATGTTGCTGTACCAATATCCACTCCCCTATACCCAGATAATGGATACTGAAATCACATATAAACGAAAATTTTAAAAAATGGCACGTGTCAAGCTTTATAGGTAGAAATGCAACATAAAAAAATATGCATTTCATATTCAGCTAAGCATAATCTGTAGACATTAAAAAAGTCTGAAAGATATATGCTAGCAAGAAATCAAAACGCAAAGCATAGCCGACTAAAATACCGCGTAGTGTGTGGACAATTCATAACCATGTAGTTTGCTTGTTGCCCGTAGCGGAATATTCACGGTTTGGCTCCCTCTAACTTCATTTTTTGCTCAGAACACTGCGCCCGGGGCGACTGACTCCCACAGCTAGAGATTACCTCTGCTATGCATTCCGTTCCGTTCGTAGTCTACTACATATTTCCCCAATATCGAGTAGGCTGTCTATTCGAAAGCTTCGTCCTCATGATGAAAACTCCTTTTTGGTAATTTAAACCTCCATCACATGGTTAATCTTTAGGGATAAATGATTTCACTATGTTATTCTGCCTATCGTAACCCCGTCAACCAGCCGTGTTCTGAATGATTTGATTGGCTGTACCAACAAAGAGAGGCGGACTTAAGTAGCCTCCATACCAAATAAGGAACGAGTCCCTTGCTGTGATTGGTGACGATTGCGGATGAGGGCGTCAACAAGTGAAATTTGCAACAAATTGGATTTTTTTCTCAACCCTGGGCATTGTTATGGTCAATACATTTAAAATGATACTGTTATTATAACGGTGTTACAATGTAACAACTTCACCCGATTCAGTTTAACCAGTGGTGTCTGACGTGAAATGGTCAGTTGCTATTTGCAAAAGGTTATTGGCTTGTTTCAGCAAGCAATGTACCAGTTTACATATTGTACAAGATTATCAAATGCTAAATTATTAATGCAGAGAATAAATAAATATAGTTAAATGATATGAGGACATTTCATTTATTTATCAAATTGCCCTAGTGGGATATCAAGGTTACTTGTTTAGAAATATGAGAATAAGCACTCCAGTAACAGGTTAGTTTGCCAAATATGCCCTCTTCTGGACAATGTCTGCCAAACGCTCATTCTAACTCTATTAGTCTAACTTTCTCTACACGTTTTCCAGTATTAGGAAAACCTAATGCTAGCATTTCAATCACTTAGGATACTGTCACAAAAAAACCATCATATTTTGGACCCTCGAGTTATTAGAATACACTATATGCTTATGAAAATGTATTGGTCACCACATGAGGACGCTGTTGTTACAATGTCTAGGTCATGAGCTAAAAGTATTTTGTGACACCTCATGACTACAAGTAATAAAACATTACACAATTACAACCCATTGACTGTAGTTGCTGAACTAAAAATCATTTTATTGTATTGTTTACACTCAGTGTTTTATGTTCTGATTGCCACAAAATGTACATTATCTGCAGATAAGCAAGTATCCATACGGCTCCTTTCCACCCACAAAAGCCCAAGGGCAAACTACAGAAGCAAAACTAAAACCTAATTGTTACAGTACACTCTGGGGCACCTTGAAGAGATTGTGCAGCAGACGCATTCTATAGCAGCTGCATTGTAACAGTGTTGGCACTGACTATACTGTGGATTACTTAGCGAAATTATAAATCAGGCTGTCGAGACTTTAGACAGTGGTGTGTCAAAGCCATATGTTGTATAGTTCATGGTCTGGATGTACTCATTCTCAATTGGGAACAAATTATTACATTTTATAACATGTTCAATGATTAATTTCAATGGTCTTGGTAAATGCAATCAATTGAAATAAAGCTAAATAATTGAAACAAATAACTACATTGGTATATAAACTGTAATAAGTTAATTATCAAAATTAGAAAAAAGCATTGAAATGTTATGACTGTCCATATAGAAATGTTGCTTCATCATTATTCATAATTACATAAAACGCTAGAAAAGAGAGGAATACATCTGTCAACCAAATAAATGATTTTTCTACAGTCATAAGAAGCTAAATAATAACATTAGCTTTGATACTCAAATATTAATAATTATAAGCACTAATTTGTACATATCCTGCAGGGAGCAACATAGGAAAATAAAACATAACATTGCTATTGAGATAGCAGAAATGCCTATGGATTGGATCTTCTAATTATTAATTGGATTAGATGAATTATTCCCGTTAAAACAAGAGAAATACAAGAGCCAAAATATAGCGGTTTAGAGATGTGCTGGGAAATGGCTACTGTGCATAGTCCTTATAGACACAGTTTGAGCTATATAATCCCCTGTAAAGGTTTGGAGATGTTTGAATTGTAATGCTGCAGTCATTATCACTCCTGTTTGTGCTTCATCATCCACACAGCTTTCTTAGTATTTCCACAATATCCCTCTGGGTGGCACTGCTATACCATTAGCTACTTATCTCGGCAGAACTGTTATCTGTGCCATGTATTCAACAAAGTTATCAACATTTTAACACTTTCAAAAGCATGCATGTAAGTAATACACTGAAATGTAGATTGTACATGTTGCACATTTGTCATATGCATTGTGCACTTTAGTGCGTCATATTTGGTCCATATTTGTATGGCTGACATGTCGTAGAGAACAAAACCGACACTGTTAAACTGCATTGTCATGTAATTACATAATGCAGCATCACAATAATAACATCACCATAATGATAACAATGTTCTTCCTCACAGGCTAAGGCAGGTCAGAGATCCTACATTATATTTCCTGTGTGGTTCTGTATAATGCCTTAAATAAATTTAAATAAGCACCACTTTATGAACCAGAGATGATGACAATTATAGAGACAGAAGTGGATCATCAAGCAAAACAAGGAGGGGACTATTGGAAGTTAAAAGGTGTGCTTATAGTATACCTGTCTGTAAACAAATCATGGCTTGGCTAAAACCATTGCAGTACAAACATTATAATAACACATTACAGTATACAATCCAAAGAAAAGGAGATTTCAAGTAACCTCAGGAAACTTTGTTGAATGCGTTGTAGGCCTCTGAAATGTTCAGTAGAGTGTTGAGCGACTTGACCCCCCCCCCTGTTCTATTTGGATTAAAGTGAGGTCTCATGGGAAAAGCTGACTGAAGTTTCCATCTTGACGCCATTGGTTGGCTTGTCTGAAGCGCACTCGGTAGGGACCTAAGACAGCAGAGAGAAATATATCTTTAATTAAAGTATTCTATTGTCCTTTCATGAGATAAAGAGTCTTCTCATCACTTAAGTAACTAGTTGTAACAATGTTATAAACCAATCACTGTTCATTAAACCAACACAGTTGGGTACATAATCACAGTGCCAAATGGTATTCTAGTATCCCATAACAACATCCTACAGCACAAGTTTACAGATGCCCTATACTGATGTCAGCAATGCTCCTGGAAACTATAAAGCCATATCTTTTCAATAGATATGCAACATGAATACTACTATACATATTTTGTCTAGTGACTGCCTGAAGACTGCCAAATAATCAATTGAAAACAAATGCATCTAAGGATTCATTTGCTTTGCCCAGCACGCTGCTCTCGGCATGATAAAGATTCACATTAGATGAGCCAAGCAGAGAGCTCAGTAGCTGAGACACTGCAGGACTTTTTTGTCTTTTTATGTTTGCCCGGGCCTTGATGTTGGGAATCTCATGAGATATGAGACAGCTTTCACAATGGCTGTCAATGTGAAAGAACAGACAGACGAGTGACCTGACATCTGTGTGTGATACATCATTCAAGGAAAAGTGATTGAGAGGAGGGTGACCTTTCAGGAGAAAGAAAAGGAAAATAGAAAATCTCTCTCCGAGGTAAATGGACAGAACGTGACTTACTGCTTGAAGAGCTTTTTTGTCCATGCCCATATTGACGTTGTTTCTTTTCAGTTCTGATTTTATTAAGGCTGAAATAAACAAGCGAAAGTAATTAAGAGTGCCTCATCAAACAATATATAAACATACAAAGCTGTGGTGTAGCCTACATTGTATTGCATTGTATTGTATTTCATTAGTCTGTATCAGTTTTCATAGCAGAAGGTGGATCATATAGAAGACACCCACACTCCACAGAACAGATCAGAACAGATCAGAACAGATCAGAACAGATCAGAACAGATCAGAGAGCCAACCAACCTGTGAGAAAGATGCCCAGGAAGATCCAGACACAGAGGAACAGGTTCCCAACCAGGGGGTTGTAGTTTGTTGTTAGTCTTCCCTGGATCAATGTGAAAATAATCCCAAAGATCTGAGGGAGGAAAGAGACATAGGAGGTGAGGAAAAACACTGTACACCTGTAGTGCCTCAAGGGTACACTCTTAGAAAAAAGGGTTCCAAAAGGGTTTTTCGGTTGTCCCCATAGGATAACCCTTTTTGGCCCCAAGTATAACTCTTTTGGGTTCCATGTAGAACCCTCTGTGGAAAGGGTTCTACATGAAACCCAAAAGAGTTCTACCTGGAACCAAAAAGGGTTCTTCAAAGGGTTCTCCTATGGGGACAGCCGAAGAACCATTATTGGTTCTAGATAGCACCTTTTTTTCCAATAGTGTATACAAGCATTATAGTGACTGACAAAACAGATCACCAAACAAAAAACTTATCAGACGCCCACTTGGCAAAGAAGCTAAACCATCCTATAAAGAACTAGAATAGAAAGTTAATATACTGTGCAGACTTTGTGTGGGTAGACAAAAATTACATAATGTTGAGGGGAGGACACATGTTGTGGTGCACGGGAATACCCAAAAGTGTTTGCCTGGAAATATCACTGGAGACGTGGTTCCACAAACAATAAAACAATATTCATGATTGTTTACATGATCATGTGTCTGACCCTTACCTGTGCAAATGCATTAAGAAGACCAGAAGATGTCCCTTCAGATTCAGGATACGTAATTTCAACCCCAAATTCAAAGCCAAGCGGCAGGTAACCAGTCATGAAGAACCTACAGAATAACAATATCATATCAATAAACCATGCCTGACCTCTGGGAAAACACACTGCTTTATCTTGATGCCCTTGTTTTTTTTATTTTTGTACTTTTCTCCCCAATTTCGTGATATCTAATTGGTAGCCTGATATCGAACACAGGTCTGGAGTGATGTCTCAAGCACTGATGCAGTGCCTTAGACCGCTGCACCACTCGGGAGGCCTGATGTCCTTGTTTAAGGTTGAACATTTCTGGTTCCAGTCCGCCCCTGAACACTACATAAATAATAGAGGCATTGCATGAGTGACTGTTTACCTTCAAAGCATACAAGAGAATGAGAAGATGATGTCAAAAAAGGTAATTAGACCAGGTGTCACGCCCTGGCTCTGGGGACGCTTGTATGTTGAGCCAGGGTGTGAGTTTTCTTTGTTTGTTCTAGTTTTGTATTTCTATGTTGGCCAGGGTGGCTCCCAATCGGAGACGGCTGTAGCTCGTTGTCTCTGATTGGGAGCCATACTTAGGTAGCCGTTTGGCATTGTTTTATGTGGGATCTTGTTCCAGTGTAGGTTTGTGTTTGAACCGAGGACGTCACGTATCGATTTGTTGTTTTGTTCGGGTGATTATTCGAATAAATAAAAGTATGTTCGCCTTGGTCCTCTGTATCCGACGAACGTGACAGAAGATCCCACCAAGACTGGACCAAGCAGCGTGTCCAGGAGCCAACGCCAGAGGTATCGCTGGCGGATATCCACCTCGACTGGGTCAAGCCGCGGGAGGAGGAGAGAGGCTGGACTTGGAAGCAGAGGAGCGAAAGTCTGGCGAGAGCTATGGAGGCCTGGCCCACGGGGAGGAGAGACGCCCAGAATTTTTTTAGGGGGGGGCTCACGCCGTGGACGACGGGGCAGCAGGAGGCCGCCAGGTTACGGGAGTCACTGGTCACCAGGGGGAAGGAGGATGTAGAGGCACGGCGAGAGGTACTGGGGTGTGTTGCCAGTCCGGTCCGGCCCGTTCCTGATCCCCGCGTAGGGCCAGGCGTGTGTGTTCCCAGTACGGTCCGGCTTGTTCCTGTCCCTCGCACCGAGCCTGTGGTGCGCTTCGTCAGCCCGGTCCGGCCCGTTCCTGCTCCCCGCACCAAGTCAGTGGTGCGCTTCGTCAGCCCGGTCCGGCCCGTTCCTGCTCCCCGCACCAAGTCGGTGGTGCGCTTCGTCAGCCCGGTCAGGCCCGTTCCTGCTCCCCGCACCAAGTCGGTGGTGCGCTTCGTCAGCCCGGTCCGGCCCGTTCCTGCTCCCCGCACCAAGTCGGTGGTGCGCTTCGTCAGCCCGGTCCGGCCCGTTCCTGCTCCCCGCACCAAGTCGGTGGTGCGCTTCGTCAGCCCGGTCCGGCCCGTTCCTGCTCCCCGCACCAAGCCGGTGGTGCGCTTCGTCAGCCCGGTCCGGCCCGTTCCTGCTCCCCACACCAAGCCAGTGGTGTGCGTCGTCAGTCCGGCACAGCCCGTGCCTGTTCCACCCTGTGCCTGGTCCGGCACCGGTCAGCTGCTCCACGCCGGAGCTAGAGCAATCCGCTCCACCAGTGTTCAGTCCAGCTCCGGCCAGCAGGGCCAGACCGGACCAGGGGTACTTTGGGGGGTTAGAGAGGGAGTGGGGATCATGCCCGGAGCCGGATCCGCCGCCAAGGCGGAGTGCCCACCCGGTCCCTCCCCTGTGGTGTTTGGTTGGCGCGGTCGGAGTCCGCGCCTTTGGGGGGGGGTTCTGTCACGCCCTGGCTCTGGGGACGCTTGTATGTTGAGCCAGGGTGTGAGTTTTCTTTGTTTGTTCTAGTTTTGTATTTCTATGTTGGCCAGGGTGGCTCCCAATCGGAGACGGCTGTAGCTCGTTGTCTCTGATTGGGAGCCATACTTAGGTAGCCGTTTGGCATTGTTTTATGTGGGATCTTGTTCCAGTGTAGGTTTGTGTTTGAACCGAGGACGTCACGTATCGATTTGTTGTTTTGTTCGGGTGATTATTCTAATAAATAAAAGTATGTTCGCCTTCCACGCTGCGCCTTGGTCCTCTGTATCCGACGAACGTGACACCAGGGAATGGAAAATTAAATAAGAGGCTAGCCTGTTCAACCTCTCTTTCGTATAATCTGAGATCTCCAGAGATTGGAAAGCTGCCGCAGTCATCCCCCTCTTCAAAGGGGGTGACACTCTAGATCCAAACTGTTACAGACCTATATCCATCCTGCCCTGCCTTTCGAAAGTATTTGAAAGCCTAGCTAACAAACAGATCACGACCATTTCGAATACCACCGTAACTTCTCCGCTATGCAATCTGTTTCCGAGCTGGTCACGGATGCACCTCAGCCACGCTCAAGGTCCTACATTTACATTTACATTTTAGTCATTTAGCAGACGCTCTTATCCAGAGCGACTTACAGTTAGTGATTACATATTTTTTTTATACTGGCCCCCCGTGGGAATCGAACCCACAACCCTGGCGTTGCAAACACCATGCTCTATCAACTGAGCTACATCCCTGCCGGCCATTCCCTCCCCTACCCTAGACGACGCTGGGCCAATTGTGCGCCGCCCATGAGTCTCCCGGTCGCGGCCGGCTGCGACAGAGCCTGGATTCGAACCAGGATCTCTAGTGGCACAGTTAGCACTGCAATGCAGTGCCTTAGACCACTGCGCCACTCAGGAGTAAACGATATTATAACCGCGATCGATAAAAGACAGTACTGTGCAGCCGTCTTCATCGACCTGGCCAAGGCTTTTGACTCTGTCAATCACCGCATTCTTATTGGCAGACTAAATAGCTTTGGTTTCTCAAATGACTGCCTCACCTGGTTCACCAACTACTTCTCAGATAGAGTTCAATGTGTCAAATCGGAGGGCCTGTTGTCTGGACCTCTGGCAGTCTCTATGGGGGTGCCACAGGGCCGACTCTATTCTCTGCGTATATCAATGATGTCGATCTTGCTGCTGGTGACTCTCAGATCCACCTCTACGCAGACGACACCATTTTGTATACATCTGGCCCTTCACTGGACTCTGTTTTAACAAACCTCCAAAAAAGCTTCAATACCATACAACACTCCTTCCGTGGCCTCCAACTGCTCTTAAACGCTAGTAAAACTAAATGCATGCTCTTCAATTGAACGCTGCTTGCACCCGCCGCCCGACTAGAATCACTACTCTCTGCGGGTCTGACTTAGAATATGTGGACAACTACAAATACCTAGGTGTCTGGTTAGACCGTAAACTCTCCTTCCAGACTCACATTAAGCATCTCCAATCCAAAGTTAAATCTAGAATCGGCTTCCTATTTCGCAACAAAGCCTCCTTCACTCATGCTGCCAAACATGCCCTCGTAAAACTGACTATCCTACCGATCCTTGACTTCGGCGATGTCATTTACAAAATAGCTTCCAACACTCTACTCAGCAAATTGGATGTAGTCTATCACAGTGCCATCCGTTTTGTCACCAAAGCCCCATATACTACCCACCATTGTGACCTGTACGCTCTCGTTGGCTGGCCCTCACTACATATTCGTCGCCAAACCCACTGGCTCCAGGTCATCTATAAATCACTTCTAGGCAAATCCCTGCCTTATCTTAGCTCATTGGTCACCATAGCAACACCCACCCGTAGTATGCATTCCAGCAGGTATATCTCACTGGTCATCCCCAAAGCAAACACCTCCTTTGGCCGCCATTCCTTCCAGTTCTCTGCTGCTAATGACTGGAACGAACTGCAAAAATCTCTGAAGCTGGAGACACTCATCTCCCTCACTAACTGTAAGCATCAGTTGTCAGAGCAGCTTACCGATCACTGCACCTGTACACAGCCCATCTGTAATTAGCCCACCCAACTACCTCATCCCCATATTGTTATTTACATTGTTATTTATTTTGCTCATTTACACCCCAGTATCTCTATTTGCACATCATCTTCTGCACATCTATCACTCCAGTGTTAATACTAAATTGTAATTATTTTGCACTATGGCCTATTTATTGCCTTACCTCCATAACTTACTACATTTGCACACACTGTATATAGATTTTCTATTGTGTTATTGACTGTACGTTTTGTTTTTGTTTATTCCATATGTAACTCTGTGTTGTTGTTGTTTTTAATCGAACTGCTTTGCTTTATCTTGGCCAGGTCGCAGTTGTAAATGAGAACTTGTTCTCAACTGGCTTACCTGGTTAAATAAAGGAGGCCTGTCCAGCTTGGGTTTTTTGCACAAAATTATCATTATCTGGCTAATAATGGGGGCCTCAAGGGAAAAAAATGGGCCGGTGTGTTAGAAATCCCAGGGCAGATTTCTGGTTCCAGTCCGCCCCTGAACACTACATAAATAATAGAGACATTGCATGAGTGACTGTTTACCTTCAAATCATACAAGAGAATGAGAAGATGATGTCAAAAAAGGTCATTAGACCAGGGAATGGAAAATTAAATAAGAGGCTTGCATTTTAAATGTCCTGAATGACACCCTACTGTTCACTACCTCATCATGTAGACACAATGTGCAACATGGGCTATTATGACTATTTTACTTCTTATCATTTCAATAAATGATTTACAATCTGACAGGAAACCATTTCCTTTGTGGCTACAGGATCCTTTCCTGTTACCAAGTTGGCTGTTACACAAATGAGTAGACTCTCTCAATGATGACGCTAGACAGTATTTTTATCTAGTTCAAACAGAGGGGTTATCTCCAGCCTTACCCCAGCACACCGGCTGTGAAGAACACCAGGTAGATACTGTTGAGGTCCAGAGTGAAGGTGAACACCAGCATACCAATGAAGGACAGGATGTAGACAATCAAAGTGGTCATTCTGAGGAACAATCACAGGACAGAACCTTGATGTAAATACAAGTGGACACATTCAATATAGAGAGTTTTACAATTAAAGAGGCATGGGCAGGGAAAATGTACAATATCACTCCCACCTTCATCATTCTCTATGTCTCAGGGACTTACATAGCCTATATAAGTTGACTTTATTATTAATTACTTTATAGCTTACTGTAAATGTCACTGATTCTAACCATTGGTTTCATACACAACCCAGCACCAGTATGAGTAGCAAGAGTGTGAAAAGCTGTCATCAAGGCAAAGGGTGGCTATTTGAAGAATCTCATATATAAAATATATTTTGATTTGTTTAACACTTTTTTGGTTACTACATGATTCCATATGTGTTATTTCATAGTTTTGAAGTCTTCACTATTATTATACAATGTAAAAAAAAAAACTAAAAATAAAAAAAACCCTTGAATGAGTAGTTGTGTCCAAACTTTAGACTGGAAATGTAAATAGACATAGACTGTAACTGCCTTCTGCAGCTCAATATTGCATCATGTGCAACATAGTTTTATGACTGTGTCAACAAAGAATGTAGTGATTCATGTCACTGGCAGTTGTGCTTGGGGACAGTACCTACTTGTAGGTTTTGGTGTGATCCAGCCACAGTCCACAGATGATGGAGCCCACCATTCCAGCCACCACAAGGGTGAGACCAATCCTGCCTGCATTCAGTTCCTGGTTCTGGGGTGAGGAGGTGAATGTTAGCGTAAGGTTAGCAGGCTTTTCTAGGGACATGTGCCACACTATCATATTCACAAACTTGAGGCTCAAGAGGACTCCAGACACAATATGGTCTGGATGCATGTATGACCTTTCATACATGGTGTATCGGTTTAGGGGGTACAGTTCAGGGATTTATGGAAGGTCTGGTGGGAAAGTGATGTTTATGTCATTTTAAAGTGAGAGAAGGCTGCTACCAGAGTTCACAGAAAGTTGTTTGTCTTTCAGTCTTTTAGCCAACCCTGACTGACTCTCTCCTCCATTGGTAGCAGGCATGCGTAAAAAGTGGATAATGAACTTCAAAACGGGACACAATGGATTCGTGCCCTGTCATGGTTTCTGCTCTCATTTAACTCCATCTGTTTACAGAGAAAGCCTTTTACATTTACGTCATTTAGCAGACGCTTTTATCCAGAGCGACTTACAGGAGCAATTAGGGTTAAGTGCCTTGCTTAAGGGCACAACGACAGATTTTTCACCTAGTCGGCTCGGGGATTAGTACCAGCGACCTTTCGGTTACTGGCACAACGCTCTTACCCACTAAGCTACCTGCCACCCCTTTTCCCTAGAGTCTTTACTTCTGTCCCATTCAAGAGCTTGTGTTTGGTCTAGCTATGTATGTAGTAAATCAACCTATCAAAGAAACTTTAATTTTCACAAATAATCTTCATTTTCAGTCATTGGAACACGCATCTTTTGTACTCCACTTACCTTGTAACAAGCCATAATCATCTGATTGAGAAGTGTTGACACAGAGTAGAAAGAACCAGTCATGATACCTAAAAGAAAATAGGAAACTAAATAGATTTCTTTCAATGTTTCATCCCGCCATAGTGATATAAATTCCAAGAATCAACATAGTACACACAAAACCATGAAAATAACTGAACACCAACAAAATAAACTCTCTAGATGTCAAATCCAAGAAATGTACATAACTGGACTGAGCACTGGGCAGTCAGTCTGCCTTGGGGTGTATGGGGTTAAAGGACAGATCTTATCGGCCTTGTATGGGGCTAAAGACAGATTGTTCTCATAATGGAACACATATCCCCAGGAAACAATCAGTGGAATGAACAGAATGCAATAAAAAGAGACTTTGAAGGTCAGCACTCAGGATAACTAGCCCCAGATCTGTATGTGCTTCGGCAACTCCTCTAACTTTCATTGTCACTTTTGGCATGACAACAAACACAACAGATGAGTTTGCTAAAGCACAGATCTGGCAATTAGTCAGGTGTCTCATCATAACTTTAAGGTAGCTTTGTGTTACAGTGGTAATAACTTGGTTATAGTAAGTGTAGTAAAAACATAAGGAGCAAGATAAGGTGAGATTATGATAAGTCTGGTGTCTCACCATAACTGATGAGCAGTAGGATGAAAGGTTTGTTCTTGAACAGGTTGATGATGGACTGTCTGTAGGAGTAGTCTTCAGGAGCACAGTCAGGCAGGACAGCCTGAGCTTTGCTGGGAGGTAGTGAGGGTCTGTCTTTCATGACTAGGAGAGAAGAGACATAGTCAACACTAACCTGCTGTATTTACAGCTTTACAACATAATGGTAAAGTGTTTGTCTCTGTTTCTTGCTTCAAATGCACTCAGTAGCTTATTACTGCAATGACTTATTACTGCAATGACTGCCCTTGACCAGCACAAAAACATCCTGTGGCGTACTGCATTAGCATCGAACAGCCCCCGCGATATGCAACTTTTCAGGGAAGTCAGGAACCAATATACACAGCAAAGGCTAGCTTTTTCAAACAGAAATTTGCATCCTGTAGCACTAACTCCAAAATGTTTTGGGACACTGTAAAGTCCATGGAGAACAAGAGCACCTCCTCCCAGCTGCCCACTGCACTGAGGCTAGGAAACACTGTCACCACAGATTAAATCTATGATAATCGAGAATTTCAACAAGCATTTTGCTACGGCTGGCCATGCTTTCCATCTGGCTACCCCTACCCCGGCCACCAGCTCTGCACCCTCCGCTTCTCCTTCACCCAAATTCAGATAGCTAATGTTCTGAAAGAGCTGCAAAATCTGGACCCCTACAAATCAGCTGGGCTAGACAATCTGGACCCTTTCTTTCTAAAATTAGCAGCCGAAATTGTAGCAACCCCTATTACTAGCCTGTTCAACCTCTCTTTCGTATCATCTGAGATCCCCAGAGATTGGAAATCTGCCGCGGTCATCCTCCTCTTCAAAGGGGGTGACACTCTAGATCCAAACTGTTACAGACCTATATCCATCCTGCCTTTCGAAAGTATTTGAAAGCCTAGTTAACAAACAGATCACCGACCATTTCGAATCCCACCGTACCTTCTCCGATATGCAATCTGGTTTCTGAGCTGGTCATGGGTGCACCTCAGCCCCGCTCAAGGTCCTAAACGATATTATAACCACGATCGATAAAAGACAGTACTGTGCAGCCGTCTTCATCGACCTGGCCAAGGCTTTCGACTCTGTCAATCACCACATTCTTATTGGCAGACTAAATAGCCTTGGTTTCTCAAATGACTACCTCACCTGGTTCACCAACTACTTCTCAGATAGAGTTCAATGTGTCAAATCGGAGGGCCTGTTGTCTGGACCTCTGGCAGTCTCTATGGGGGTGCCACAGGGTTCAATTCTCGGGCCGACTCTATTCTCTGTGTATATCAATGATGTCTCTCTTGCTGCTGGTGACTCTCAGATCCACCTCTACGCAGACGACACCATTTTGTATACATCTGGCCCTTCATTGGACACTGTGTTAACAAACCTCCAATCGAGCTTCAATTCCATACAACACTCCTTCAATGCATGCTCTTCAATCGAACGCTGCTTGCACCCGCCCGCCCGACTAGAATCACTATTCTCGGCGGGTCTGACTTAGAATATGTGGACAACTACAAATACCTAAGTGTCTGGTTAGACCGTAAACTCTCCTTCCAGACTCACATTAAGCATCTCCAATCCAAAGTTAAATCTAGAATCGGCTTCCTATTTCGCAACAAAGCCTCCTTCACTCATGCTGCCAAACATGCCCTCGTAAAACTGACTATCCTACCGATCCTTGACTTCGGCAGTGTCATTTACAAAATAGCCTCCAACACTCTACTCAGCAAATTGGATGTAGTCTATCACAGTGGCCATCCGTTTTGTCACCAAAGCCCCATATACTACCCACCATTGTGACCTGTACGCTCTCGTTGGCTGGCCCTCACTACATTTTCGTCTCAAAACCCACTGGCTCCAGGTCATCTATAAATCACTTCTAGGCAAATCCCTGCCTTATCTTAGCTCATTTGTCACCATAGCAACACCCACCCGTAGTATGCGCTCCAGCAGGTATATCTCACTGGTCATCCCCAAAGCCAACACCTCCTTTGGCCGCCATTCCTTCCAGTTCTCTGCTGCCAATGACTGGAACGAACTGCAAAAATCTCTGAAGCTGGAGATACTTATCTCCCTCACTAACTTTAAGCATCAGTTGTCAGAGCAGCTTACCGATCACTGCACCTGTACACAGCCCATCTGTAATTAGCCCACCCAACTACCTCATCCCCATATTGTTATTTATTTTGCTCATTTGCACCCCAGTATCTCTATTTGCACATCATCTTCTTGCACTATGGCCTATTTATTGCCCTACCTAAATAACTTACTACATTTGCACACACTGTATATTGATTTTTCTATTGTGTTTTTGACTGTATGTTTTGTTTATCCCATATGTAACTCTGTGTTGTTGTTGTTTTTATCGCACTGCTTTGCTTTATCTTGGCCATGTCGCAGTTGTAAATGAGAACTTGTTCTCAACTGGCCTACATGGTTAAATAAAAATAAATAATAAAAAATAACTGATTTTGCAAAACACTATCACAGCTTATTGTGAAATAAACACAAATTACGTATTTGACATTCGTGACAGGCAGACTTTTTTGTATGTATTACACAATTTTCTTCACAGCGCATTTTGTGTGTATTTCTTTCTTCATAACGCATTCGTGTACATTACATGAATTCCAATTTGTTGTGGCTAACTTTAGCTAGGCTAGCTAGGTGGCTAACGTTAGCTAGGCTAGCTAGGTGGCTAACGTTATAGCTCGGCTAAGGGTTGCTAGACGTTCGCATTATACGCCCACCCATCCTCCCTGACCAACCTCCCTCCTATCGTTTCTGTCTTAAGTAACGTACTGTCTTTATAATTCACTGTATACAAAATCGTGTACTGCACACAAAGAAATACACTTTTTCTTGTGCCTGTCACAATTTTCCAATAAGTAATTTGTGTCTATTTCACAATAATCTGTGTCTCTGGGTTGGATTTACTGTGGTATGTTTGCATGGTTGGTATGTTTGTATGGAATGCGTAGCCTATGGAAAATCTACAGTGCCTTCAGAAAGTATTCACACCCCTTGACTTTTTCCACATTTTGTTGTGTTACAGCCTGAATTTTAAATCGATTAAATGTATATTTTGTGTCACTGATCTACACACAATACCCCATAATGTGAAAGTGGAATTTAGTTTGTAGAAGTGTTTTGAAATTCATAAAACATTTAATCTGATATGTCTTGAGTCAATAAGTATTCAACTCCTTTGTTATGGCAAGCCTAAATAAGTTCAGGAGTAAAAATGTGCTTAACAAGTCACATTGTAAATTGCATGGACTCACTCTGTGTAGTAGTTAACATCAGTCTTGTATGACTACCTCATCTCTGTACCCCACACATATAATTATCTGTAAAGTCCCTCAATCGAGAAGTGAATTTCAAGCACAGATTCAACCACAAAGATCAGGGAGGTTTTTCAATGCTTCGCAAAGAAGGGCACCGATTGGTAGATGTTTAAAAATACAAAAAGCAAACGCTGAATATCCCTCTGAGCATGGTGAAGTTATTAATTAGGCTTTGGATAGTGTATCAATCAATATACACTGCAAAGATACAGGTGCCCTTCCTAAATCAGTGGCCGGAGAGTAAGGAAACTGCTCTGAGATTTTACCATGAGGCCAATCGTGATTTTAAAACAGTTACAGAGTTTAATGGTTGTGATATGAGAAAACTGAGGATGGATCAACAACATTCTAGTTACTCCACACTACTAACCTAAATTACAGAGTGAAAAGAAGGAAGCCTGTACAGAATAAAAAAATAATCCAAAACATCCATCCTGTGTGCATTAAATGTGGCAAAGAAATTAACTTTTTGTCCTGAATACAAAGTGTTATGTTTGGGGCAAACCCAACACATCACTGAGAACCACTCTTCATTTTTTCAAGTATGGTGGTGGCTGCATTATGTTATGGGTATGCTTGTCATCGGCAAGGACTAGGAAATGTTGTAGGATAAAATAAAACAGAATACAGCTATAAGCACATGCTAAATCTTAGAGGAAAACCTGGTTCAGTCTGCTTTCCAACAGACACTGGGAGACAAATTCACCTTTCAGCAGGATAATAACCTAAAACACATGGCCAAATCTACACCGGAGTTGCTTACCATGACAACATTGAATGTTCCTGAGTGGTCTAGTTAGAGTTTTGACTTAAATCGGCTTGAAAATCTATGGCAAGACTTGAGAATGGCTGTCTAGCAATGATCAACAATCAACTTGACAGAGCTTGAAGAATTTAAAAAAGAATAATGTGCAAATATTGTACAATACAGGTCTGCAAAGCTGATATAGATTTACCCCAAAAGACTCACTGCTGTAATCGCCGCCAAATGTGCTTCTACAAAGTATTGACTCAGGGGGGTGAATACTTATGTAAATTCGATATTTCTGTATATCATTTTCAATAAATTAGCAAAAATGTCTAAAAACATGTTTTCACTTTGTCATTATGGGATATTTTGTGTAGATGGGTGAGCAAAAAAATATATTTAATCCATTTTGAATTCAGGCTGTAACCCAACAAAATGTGGAATAAGTCAAGGGGTATGAATACTTTCTGAAGGCACTGTAAGTGCAGTTGTCTGGATTTATGGAGTTAGTTACTACAGTGACTAAATCTGGGCTCTCCAACCCTGTTCCTGGAGAGCTACCCTCCTGTAAGTTTTTGCTCCAACCCCAGTTGTAACTAACCTGATTCAGCTTATCAACAAAATAATTATTAGAATCAGGTGCACTAGATTAGGTTTGGGGTGAAAACCTACAGGACGGTAGCTCTCCAGGAACACCATTCCAGATGGCATGATGAGGCTTGTGTCAACTTACTTACCAATTACAGTCAAGATGAAGAGAGCAGTGGAGACTACAGCTGTCCCATAAAACATAATGCTGATATTGTGTCCCATCAACTCTATGTCATCCACAGTGTTGGGGACCAGGACAGGTGGAAGCAGGAAGCCAATGGCAGTGCCCAGCTAGAGAGGAATCAGACAAATACATCAATGTCACATATTCCATCAAAATACAGAAAGAAATGGTTATGGTTATTTTTATACAGCAGCATAAATATGTACATCATAAGCATGTAGGCCTACAGTTTACAATATGATTAGGCTACAATATTCAATAGGTGCCCCCCATATCATGACTCATTACACACGCACCTGGTTACCCAACACGGCAGTGGCACATGCAGTAGACACCTCCTTCGGGCCAAACCACACTGATGCAATCCTAGAGGGCAGCCCGAGGATGAAGACTTGGGCTATGGAACATATTATCTGTGCGGTCATTGTCACACCGAACAGATCTGACCGGACGCTGGCGCATTTCACCCAAGCACCGACGCAGTTCAAACCCGCGCCCATAAGGGCTGTCAATTTCAGTCCTTTTTTATCCAGTAACCATGTTGCGGGGAAGATCAAAGGCACATACGCGACCATGTATACAATTGACAGCCAGTCGATCTTGTCACTGGATACATTGTAGAAGTGGGTAAAAATGTTGGTGATGATGCTGTACTGGATCCATTGAAATGCGTTGACGAGGGAGTAGAGGCTGAACACAGCTAAAACGGCGAATCTTCTCCAATAGAGCTTCGTTTCGAGACATTTTTCCTCTCCAGGAAGCATAGCCTGCTTCTCATCTGGAGGGATCTCCTGTTCCAACGCCTTCGAGTCCAGTTCTGTCAGATGTGCCGATCCTTTCGTTAGAACGGAGTACTGATCCCCGGTTGGGACTGCCCCGTTATGCACCGAGCTCTTGCATGAGAAGTCTGTTTCGTCAGGTGCGTTGTCACGTCGCAGATGCTCCTGTACCAACTCGCCAGCCACCATGATGCTGCGCCAACGTCGCCTATCTCTAGCCTATTACAATCAGGAAGCACGTTTACGCAAAATAGGGCAGATCCAACATTCAGTTAGTAGATAATACAACTATTCATACCGTTTTATAAAAAAAATACAAATAAAGTAATTTTAAAATATTGTAGGCTATATATCTGTATTCGCTCTCATAAGCGCCTTCTTTCGCATGGTCCTGCTGTAGCTTAGTATGTCGGTGCCGCTTTTGCTCAGTGCATGGGGAGGGGAGAGTACTGTAGGGCAGGGCGCATTTACATCAGACAACTCAAATATAGAGGCCTTCCGATGATGACTCCGACCAATCAAAATGGCGGTTTTGGAGGGCTATGGCGGTTATAATCCCCAATCAATCCTGGATAAACGAATGGAACAAGTGCGCACCGGCCTTTTTACCCATTCAAATAAACTGGATAATTTCCTAAATAGCATTAAGGTTGTTCAAAGGTGTATCTGTTCATTAGTGACACATGGTCTCCTCATTATCTCTAATCTTAGTTAACCCAATAGACCTGCCTAGCATATACAGTAGGATACTCGCACTGGAAGGCAAACGATTGAGACAATCTATGCATAAAATGTGTAATAAAATCATCCACCTCAATAACATAGGCCTAAAAATCTATTTTCTCTGCTAATTGTAGATCTTAAATTTGTAGATGGGAGGTGAATTTACACTTTTATTAATTATGTTTTTGAAAACGCTGGTCTTCAACTCGTCCTCAGATTTACCACGATTAAATTATGTTCAAGAGGCACTGGCACACGTAGGCCTACATCACTACACTTCCACGTTGTCACAGTTCGCATTGTTGCGCGAAATTCTCAGGTTTCCAGATCCATGGAAACCGCGGGGGAGCTAGGCACAATAATGCACTCATTACGCACCACGTCATTTGGCTGCTACTTGCTATTGTGGTGTTGTAAAGCCTATCAAAACATGTCAAAATACAAAGAGGGTGCCCTGTTCGAATTAAACATGCGAAGAGAAACGTGGTGTCGAGTAGAGATTGACAGCAAGTTTTGGGAAAGAGCAGAGAAGAGACATTTTGACTGTCATTTGCAAAACACCTGCGACTTCAAATCGCTCCAGGCAGTGACTCCGGAGCAACGGTCTGCTTGGACAGCTGCAGGACATGTTACCAAATACCCAGAGCGAAAACATTTCGAAGAAAGCCGTAAGCATTGCCAACGTCATAGCCAATGACTGCTGATTGTGTGTGTGTCCATAGATACTGATGTTAGTGTCTGCTGATGTGAACCCTGACCAAACAGAAACATGTTTTCTTTCTTCCGTGAACTTGAGGTCTTTAAAAATGTTGCTCAAATTGAAACCATGTCGGCCTAATGGTTAATAATACAAGTTATGGATACTGATATTCATTTTTTTATTTTCAGACAAGGCCCACCTGGTATAATGAAGCAGAGGAACCCTTCAGCACCAAGTGGAATATTTCTGAAATAAATGGCACTTAAATTATACATAGAAGTGTCCATCACAATGCAAAAACATCTGTTGATTGAGCATTTTATTTCACATTTTTACATTTACATTTTAGTCATTTAGCAGACGCTCTTATCCAGAGTGACTTACAGTTAGATTCACAATTCCATTTCATTTTCAGAGACACAGCATGAGTTAACACAAGATGAATTTAATTACAAAACCTGTCACTCAAGTCTCTTAATTTTTGTAAACAATCTGAGGGCATTATCTGTAGTGGCATGAATTACCATTTGAGGTGTGATTCCTTTGACATGAGCAATGTACTCACAGACCAGTGATATGTTCTTGGGTTCATTCCTTACCTGCAAAGGGGAGACATAGAATAAATAAGAACAATAATACAAAACTGTCAGGTTGTTGCTTTACATAATGATGCATTCCAAATGATGACCCACATATTTTTCTGGTCCCAAGGCAGGAGAGTCTGTCTCCAGACAGATGTGTTCTAATGGAATCTGTTTGATCAGCTTGGCTTTCTGTTATAACACAGTAATAACACAGTCATTATGAGGGGACTCAACAGCAACCACCAAAAATCATGTCAGATTATATCACGCCATATGGCCGGTTCAGAGTTTTGTTTTGCAGAAATGCACAGTGAGTGTTTTTGGCCCAGTAAAAGTAGCCTTACACCAATCTTTAACCAATCTTTAAAACTTTAACTTGAGACGAGCTTGTTCAAAGATCAAGGTGTTAGAAAAGATAAGGGTTTTCTATAACAATGAGGACATACAGTACTGTTGGTGACTACACAATACCTATAGAAAATGTACTGAGAGATTACTGAATGACTCCAGGTTAATGAACAACTGTATCGCTCACCTGTTCATTCCTGCAGACAGCCGGAGGGAAGGAGAAGAAGTACCCTGCCTGCACTCCTTCCATGGCCACTGATGGTTTCCCTGCAAAGTTGTGCAGCAAAGCACAGGTGATACCTGATAGGATAGCCAAAATAGCACATGTTAAGGCCTCCTAAAAATGCAACATTAGTCACTTCAGCAATGAGGCTGTCCTCTTATGTAATCCTGATTTTAAGACACCCACCCTGTTCTTTCAGAGTAGCTATGGTGATCTTTGCAGCTGATCGGGAATGGATGTTCCTGCGTCAAAGAGGAAATGCACACAACAAGAAACTGTAAGGAGAAATATAGTAGTGACAAATAATAATACTCTCTAATATCCAGTTCTAGTGAGACATTCCATGCAAAGCCTGTTCTTGTCCCTGCCAAGGACATGGCTCGTTGCAGTTGCTCACAGTCTGACTACATTCATGTAATGTGTCTCCTAGCACAGCCAGTAATATGGACCAAGGCTATCCACGATAAACTTACACTGGCAAATCCAGATCCTTGGATATTTGTAATTGCTTGGTGAAAACAGTCAACTGTTCCTCTCTCTCCTGTGAAGTGGGGGCATACCAAGGGGTGAAGTCAAGACCAATCTGTTATCAAAATAAGAAAAAGTGACAGTTTAAAGGATGAGGGGCAATAGAAAAACATTATCATTGCATTGATTCAGTCTATTGGCAAAACATAACCTCTAGGCAATTCCACAGTAACAGAATTAAGATGAGATATTTAAAATGTATGCCAAACAAAAACCATTGATTTAAATCTTTAACAAACCATGTAACTCTATGCACAATGACTACTTTGAACAATTTAGACAGTAAATAAATAAATTACTGGAAAAATTGTGCAGATGCAAAGTTTGGTAACAGAATTTCAGTAAAATCTCCCTCAGTTTGATTCTGTTACCAAACATTGTATGTGCACAGTTCTTACTTTTTAAATTAAAAGGTTCAGTGGAAATTGTTAAAAGTAGTCATTGTGCATAGAGTTCTATGGTTTGTGAAACTTTGAAATCAATGGTTTTTGTTTGGTGAAAAAAATATAAGAGTCTCAGTGTAATTCCATTATCATGGAATTGCCCCTCAACACAAATCTGAAATGGGCACTGGGCAGCTTAATGGAAACCAGTTGAACAGTGGGCGGTTAGTCAAAGCTTTCCCAGTCCAGGCCAACAGTCAGTCAGTCCCAAACAAAAACACATGCTGGAAATGTCCAGCTAGAGCTCCCTGTCCCCACTAGCTTACTCTGTGCTGTTACTGACAGGGAGACATGATTGACATGGTTGACTTTGCCCTAATACCTGCCTCTCTTGGCTCCACCAAATTACATTTGTAAAAGAATGCTTTCTGCCAGACATGCATTCCTTCCAAAACTCATGCGAAGGATATTGATCATTAAGGGTATTAGCCGGTAGGGTGAATTGTTAGTGATGTAAGTTATTCTAGCCAATTTGTAAGTCGCTCTGGATAAGAGCGTCTGCTAAATGACGTAAATGTAAATGTAGCAGAGTGCACTTTCAGTTTAGCAAGTGGGAGCTCAGGCTTAATAAGCCTAATCCTTTTGCTTTACAGAAGTCATATAATCTTACAGTTTTTACACCAGGATATGACACGTGTGTGTAAGTTTAAGCATGATGCAGGGCCAGACAGACCTGCTGCATAGTACTAGAGATGTGAAAAGTGGTTTTTCCATGGGATTCTATGAGTAGGCCTACAGTACAGTACATACCTCTCCAACTGCAACAATGTCATCTCTGTACTTCTGGAACAAGGGCAAGGCAGGCTCCAAGTCCTGTAATAAGAGATGTTTTGGGAAAAGTCAGCATGCCTGTTCATTTCATCTTGAGATACCATTACATTTTGTTTATAACCATAATATCTAACATAAGGCTGACTGTCTGAAATGTGTTTGATGTCTATTCAGTGAGTGTGTGTTGAACTGCTAACTATGGGTGAATGTTTGTACCTGAATCTTCACGCTGCGCTGGTCCTGGGACCCACAGCCTTGGACTGGGTGGATTCCAAAACATGGTGCAACTAGATCTGGGTAGCTGAAAGAACAACAGTAAGAGTAACTCAAAGACAACATTCATAAAACAGTTTCACAGTGTCTCAATGTACTACAATAACAGATAAATGTCTCTTGGAGAATAAAAAAACTCAGACTGTCAAAAGCTGCTGGAAGCCATGGGAACATTTTGATAGTGAGTTGAACTATTATTTTGTGTGTTATGATGTATGCATTTGGAGCAGGATATCACAAGGCACAGAATTTGCTATTATAAAACGATGACATTTCTGAATATGGACTATTATGTGCTGCAAATAACATATGTTGTGTATGATACAGACCCTTTAAACAGCTGGATAACTCTTTCAAACTCACTGGCCTCTTCTGTGACAGAAATAAGTGTTTTGACTCCAGCCTGAAATGGCACAACATCTGATGTAGACTACAATACAACTGTTAATAAATACAGTAATCAAGATTTTATTCATTTTAACTTTATATTATTAAACATATTACACATATTACATAATAGCTACTACTAACCTCTCTGGTCCTCTTGATCACATCCTCTAAATCCTGCAGAATAGACACACAGTTTTGTACTGTCACTTTTGAACATTCACCCTGGAATAATCATTGCATAGTCAGCTGTCTGCAAGTATTGCTGTGCTGTGGACTGTATGTGACCATTTTTCACGCTTCCTAGTTGCGAGACTGCCTTCTGGTGGGCAGCACACATAAGCACCCACGCTCGCATAACAGTTTAATACTAACCTAATGCTTCCGTTATATTAGCTTACATACCACAGGCCTTTTGCTACATACCCACTGATTTGTGTACACATACCTCGGCAAATTCACAGGCTGTGATGTGGCAATGGCAATCAACAAAGCCACAATCCATTGAAGCCATAGACAAAAAAGAAAATAGGGTTTGAAGTTCAAAGTGAATTATGTGAGGTGGAACGGTTTTTACACAGTTTTGTTTCTCATGCGCCTTTATTGCTAAGACCACATATGTGATTTCCGGTTCCGGTCACTGCAGAATCATTTCAAACGTTTGGCGCAAAATATGGAGATCTGCTTGAATAAAGAGGAAGAACATAGGGTGAAGTTTACGTCGAAAAAAATTGTGGTCGAACAAATTAAGAAATACAAAGAACTACTGAAGAAGGTTTTGAATGGCCAATCTCAGCTATCCGAGGAAGCCAAGCAACTGTTACAGGAAGAGTTGCTGGTGGTGAGTTGATCGATTGTTTACGTCTCTGTTTGGCTAACGTTAGCTAGCCAGTTAATGTTTTTGTAAGATATATAACTACTAGCTTGCAGAGACAAATCAAAATACATCTTGCGATGTGGTACTTACGTTAGTTAAGTTAGTTAGGTAAGTTCAATGTAGAGTCGGTGGTGCATGAAGAAACCGCAATATCAGACCGACATCCGCAACAACTAACGTTAAAGGCGCTACATGGTCAATCTGACATCTGCATTGGCTGTGCAGCATTTAAAGCCAAGTTATGCTTGATACATAAATGTGTTCAGAGGCTTTGAATGGCGGGTGTGACGCAGTTGCGGAGCCTCCGGAGGCATGCAGAGGCCAAATCAAGCTCCCTACCGCATTGCCATGCGCCTCTAAAATGTTGTAACAATGCGGAGGGCTCCATACGGCTCTGCATTTACATAATTGGGGGGCGGGAGGTCCAGTATAAACAAACTCACTTACTTGACAACTTCCTTCACAATAGCTCTGCTCCGCTAAGCACAAGAAGTATGAAAGCCCTGCGGAGGCTGCATCGCAGTAAATGCTGAATGGCCACTTCAGAATGTGGATTGACCATGCAGAGCCTTTTAGGGTGGTGGATTGACCATGCAGAGCCTTTTAGGGTGATAAGGCCTCTGCAGAAGTCAGGGCATTCATACTTCTTGCGCTTCATGGAGCAGCAGAGCTGTTGTCAAGGAAGTGAGTTTGAGTTTATACTGGACCTCACGCCCCCACCAACCATCAACCAATCATGTCAATGCTGAGCTATATGGAGCCCTCCACATTGTTCCAAAATGTATGCTGTGCACGGCGATGCAGTACGGAGCTCAATTTGGCCTCTGCATGCCCCTGGAGGCGCCGCAATTGCGTCACACCATCCATACGGCGTCTCCTGCCTCATTTTCGGATCAAACGTAAATTCGCTTTTAGAGAGCGAAGAAGAGCACTTGCGCATATGCATACATACTGTGTGAATCTGTTATTTGTATACTAGATGACTGATAGGGGGCGCTGTGTTGAAGCCACCGTGACTTCATCTTGGCACTCCCCCACATTTTTTTTTTTTTTTACATTTGTCATTTAGCAGACGCTCTTATCCAGAGCGACTTACAGTTAGCGAGTGCATACATTTTCATACTGTCCTCCCCACCATTTGAAAAAAATATTTAGGAAGCTATAGATGTGCATTTATTAATGTCTACATTAGTTTTTGCCACATTTATTATATTACAGACACCTAAATGCATACCTTAAAATTATATTATGTGAGATAAATTTTTTATTTTTTTTTATGAAGAAAATATAGACATTTTCCTTAAAGTATACTTATTTTTTTGAGATTACTAATGTTATTGTCCCCAATACAAAAAAAAACTTAAATACATGTACCTTTGTCCATGAAACATTTAATTGGAATACTGTAGAATTCAATTAATTCCTATGGAGGACTGCGCCTACTGGGGAGTGCCAAAATGGCCGACTGGTTACTTCAAAGCCTCTCAATGGCCAATACATAGCATCAGCAGTCCAGGTTTATACACATCATTGGTGTGAATGCATCGCATTCATCTGCAATATCTGCAGTTCATCCTGTTGCTCGTGGCAACGTTGTATGGCGGAGTCTCAATTTAACTTGATCTCTTGATTTTTAGAACTTCGATACTGCTGTTCAAGAAAACGTGTTGATCAATAATCAGACTTGGGAGGAGGCTCCTGATGAAGAGGGTGAGCATATCTCCTAACTGTCTCCTATTTTTTTATACATCTAGTGCCTTTCAGTTGAACATAATACATATCTGTGTACTGTCAGCCACAATGCAATTAGTTTATTATCCCCTTTGATCAGTTGTTTTGATGTTAGTGAACATGTTTTATAGTAAACCAGAATATCTGTTAAATGCACCTGTAACTCCATAATTTGGATGTTTCTGGGAAACCATCTATTCTTGCTGGCTGCGTGTGATATTAAAGTATTAGAAATGTAGCCTACTGTAAATGTGAGCGCAGATCGTTTTGATTCTTATTAAGCAGCTCAAGGCACAATAGGACATCAATGTAAAGATTATTCAGTGAGGGAGGAGGAACTTGGTGTCATCGGTGAGTTGATATCAAGTAGAGATTGAACTGGACGAGTTTGTTGCTCAGTCTAATGACAATTATTGGTACGATAGATAGATGTTTAGTTCCCACATTAATGCTTTTAAACATTTGTTAATTCAGAAAGACTTTTAAATTGCTTTACATCAGTATAATATCACTTCTTAGAAGATGAATGCAGTGCACTTGACGACCTGCTGGATGAGAACATTGTGGAAACGTCTCGGAAACGACGTAAAGGTCCTAAAGAGATCCTCCCCTATGTCGTACGGTCGCTAAAAGCGGAGCGTAAACTCATGGTTGGTTTCACGTTTTATTACGTCTGGGTTTATGTATTATGTCAATGATTGAATGGTCCCATTGAAAAGGGTAGCATTACTTTTGCATAGCCATGATTGTCACTCTCATACTTAATACTGCTGTTAGAAATTTCATACATTTGAAAATATAGCATACACCATGTGTTCAGACTGAAATTATGTTCTATTTTTAGGGAATGTATGAAGAAGTAGTGAAGCCACAAGAAGTGGGAAAGGACCCAGTACAAGGTAAGCATTTAGACCAATCAGATCTAATCAACTTAAACGGTTACAGAATAGTGTACTGAAAATGTCTCGCTTTGCATAACACTGGAACATGAAATGTTTTATGTTCCCATGATTTTGCAATTGTTTGATAGTCAGACTCTCTCTTTTCAGAAACCATCATGACCAACTTATTGGACGCTGCACCTCGTATGTTTAGGCAAGCTAGCGCAGTAATGAAGGTAACAGGACCGTCTATATAGCTTTCTCCTATTATTTCCCACTCATTACACCTTCCTCTATGTAACATGAGTGTATGTTTAATATTTGACCACAGTCTTGAGTGACTGATGTTTGTCTGCTGTCCAGTCTCTCCAGGCAGTGCAGCAGAGGGCCGAGGGCCTGAGACAGGTGCTGAAAATGCGTCCCACAGCTGAGTCACTGGAAGTGTTCAGGGAGGTGTTGTGCAGCAGGCCCAACGGAGAGGAAAAGACAGCTAGCGGGACCAGACCACCCATCAAGAGAGCCATAGAGCAAACAGAGCTCAGAAACAACTATGCTCCTGGTCTAAAGAGGCCAGCCATTTGTAACAGCAATGACAAACCTGAGTGAAAGACATGCCACATAATAAATGCTTCCTGATCATGGAACATGTACTCTTATTTGTGATTGGAAGTATGCAATACTGTAGTACTCTCCACGGTGATAAGGCCTATGTTTGCAGCAGTCTGTGATACAATACCGCCCTCACATTATGGATAATGGGAAATGCACCCAATAGTAGTGTACATTGTTTTATACTGTATATGTCACGTGTGTGTATATATATAAATGTCTTTAGAAGAAAACAAATATTTTTGCATGGGTATTCCCTTACACCATTTGGCATTTGTCACAGCTGAGAATGCCCAAGTTGTAGGCTTATGTTAATACAGGCTACTTAAACAAGCTGTAACAGCCAGGTTTAAAGGTCCAATGTGGCTTTATTTATTTTTTTATCTCTGTCAAATAATTACTGGGTAACAATTAAGTACCTTAGTGTGATTGTTTTCAATTAAAATGTGGAAAGAAAATTAGCAAAGAGCAATGTCTCAAGCTAGAATTTTGCTAGGACTGTCTGGTAGTGGTCTGAGTGGGAGGGGAACACTGAACTAGCAGTAATTGGCAGAGAGGTTTGGAACTCTCTTTCTTATTGGTCTATTAACCAATTTACTGCCTGGTGATGTCATCAGACAGGCCAAAACTCCATCCCACCAAAACAAACTGCTCTCACACTAAAAGGGCATTATCATTTTATTCCAACCTCATGGTGTGGAAATATATATAAAACACAGGAAAATAACATTTTTGACTGCACTGGGGCCTTTAATATTTAAATTTATTTTAATCATCCATTGTGGGAATTAGTATCTATCTGGTCTAAAATGTATATGAAATGTATGACACAAGAATATGTTGTTATGAATAACAAGCCTGCATCTATTAGCAACAATTAAGCAAGTAGTATCACACAGGTACAGTAAACCTATAGGATACTCTCCGCTTGTCCCAAATCAGCAATTTAGAGCGCACTTTATTCCCTTGCTGGTGGGTGAACGATCACAGGGCATCTGACGCTTTTTAGCACGTGACTTAAAATAACTATTGAAAATAAGCGGCAAGTGCAGTTTGAACAAGTGAAACTTTGTCTCGCATACGCCCCGTATGACTTGTTCATATCTTGGCTCTTGCTATCTGAAATAAGACTTTCGAAGATAACTTGTTTTGACGTTTTATATTTTAAGTAATCTATGTATGCTTTGTTATTGCATCTGTGATGTCTGACAGCAATATTTCTAGCTTTCTACACAGCAAGAATCAAAACATGTTATTACTTCAAAGATGCGAGGTAAGTGTCAAATAGCCTAAATAGAAACGTTACTTTAATAATGTATTAGGCAGTGGTGTAAAGTACTTAAGTAAAAATACTTTAAATGGGTATATAAAAATAACTTTTTATGGGTATATGTACAGTGCCTTGCAAAAGTATTCATCCCCCTTGGCGTTTTTCCTATTTTGTTGCATTACCACCTGTAATTTAAATTGATTTTTATTTGGATTTCATGTAATGGACATACACAAAATAGTCCAAATTGGTGAAGTGAAATGAAAAAGTATAACAAATTAATAATGGAAAAGTGGTGCGTGCATATGTATTCACCCCTTTTGCTATGAAGCCCCTAAATAACATCTGGTGCAACCAATTACCTTCAGAAGTCAAATAATTAGTTAAATAAAGTCCACCTGAGTGCAATCTAAGTGTCACATGATCTGTCACATGATCTCAGTATATATACACCTGTTCTGAAAGGCCCCAGAGTCTGCAACACCACTAAGCAAGGGGCACCACCAAGCAAGCGGCACCATGTAGACCAAGGAGCTCTCCAAACAGGTCAGGGACGAAGTTGTGGAAAAGTACTCCTGAGTGGCGCAGTGGTCTAAGGCACTGCATCGCAGTGCTAACTGTGTCACTAGAGATCCTGGTTCGAATCCAGGCTCTGTCGCAGCCGGCCGCGACCGGGAGACTCATGGGCGGCGCACAATTGGCCCAGCGTCGTCCAGGGTAGGGGAGGGAATGGCCGGCCGGGATGTAGCTCAGTTGATAGAGCATGGCGTTTGCAACGCCAGGGTTGTGGGTTCGATTCCCACGGGGGGCCAGTATAAAAAAATATGTATTCACTAACTGTAAGTCGCTCTGGATAAGAGCGTCTGCTAAATGACTAAAATGTAAATGTAAGTACAGATCAGGGTTGGGTTATAAAAAAATATCTGAAACTTTGAACATCCCACTGAGCACCATTAAATCCATTATTAAAAAATGGAAAGAATATGGCACCACAACAAACCTGCCAAGAGAGGGCTGCCCACCAAAACTCACGGACCAGGCAAGGAGGGCATTAATCAGAGAGGCAACAAAGAGACCAAAGATAACCCTGAAGGAGCCGCAAAGCTCCACAGCGGAGATAGGAGGATCTGTCCATAGGACCAATTTAAGCCATACACTCCACAGAGCTGGGCTTTACGGGAGAGTGGGCAGAAAAAAAGCCATTGCTTAAAGAAAAAAATAAGTAAACACGTTTGGTATTCGCCAAAAGCCATGTGGGAGACTCCCCAAACATATGGAAGAAGGTACTCGGGTCAGATGAGACTAAAATTGAGCTTTTTGGCCATCAAGGAAAACGCTATGTCTGGCGCAAACCCAACACCTCTCATCACCCCGAGAACACCATCCCCACAGTGAAGCATGTTGGTGGCAGCATCATTCTGTGGGGATGTTTTCATCAGCAGGGACTGGGAAACTGGTCAGAATTGAAGGAATGATGTATGGCGCTAAATACAGGGAAATTCTTGAGGGAAACCTGTTTCAGTCTTCCAGAGATTTGAGACTGGGACGGAGGTTCACCTTCCAGCAGGACAATGACCCTAAGCATACTGCTAAAGCAACACTTGAGTGGTTTAAGGGGAAACATTTAAATGTCTTGGAATGGCCTAGTCAAAGCCCAGAGCTCAATCCAATTGAGGGGGGGGTGAATAGTTATGCACGCTCATGTTTTCTGTTTTTTTGTCTTATTTTTATTTTGCATCTTCAAAGTGGTAGGCATGTTGTGTAAATCAAATGATTAAAAAAAATATATATCCATTTTAATTCCAGGTTGTAAGGCAACAAAATAGGAAAAATGCCAAGGGGGGTGAATACTTTCGCAAGCCACTGTACTTTGCTATTTATATTTTTGACTACTTTTACTTTTACTTCACTACATTCCTAAAGAAAATAATGTACTTTTTATTCCATACATTTTCCCTGACACCCAGAAGTACTTGTTACATTTTGAATGCTTAGCAGGACAGGAAAATGGTTCAATTCACACACATATCAAGAGAACATCCCTGGCCATCCCTACTGATGCTGATCTGGCCGACTCACTAAACACACATGCTTCTTTTGTAAATTATGTCTGAGTGTTGGAGTGTGCCCCTGGCTATCCATAAATAAAAATAAAAATAACAAGAAAATAGCGTCATCTGATTGGCTTATTATAAGGAATTTGAAATTATTTATACTTTTACTTTTTATACTTAAGTATATTTAAAACCAAATACTTTTAGACTTTTACTCAAGTAGTATTTTACTGGGTGACTTTCACTTTTAGTTGAGTCATTTTCTATGAAAGTATCTTTACTTTTACTCAAGTATGACAATTGGGTACTTTTTCCACCACTTGTATTAGGCCTATTAACTTACACATTTTCCCTTGTATTTTTATTACGTTGAATAACTTATACGATAAAATAGAATCTAGACCAGCAACATTGTGTTGAGTAACCACACAAAGATCAGTCAAAGCTAAAGAGTAACAGCTTGTATGTGATATTGTAATAATGTCAAACGTAATACAGACCAACTTTACCTCAGCTGCAGAGCTCTGGTGGTGATGGTGATGAAGACAGGAGACTAAAAAGAAGGGAAAATAACAGGGTGGCAGCGAAGAACAGCCGAAAAAAACAGACACAAAGAGCGGATGAGCTGCATGAGGTGGGTCAGTGCATGCATAACAGACTCCTCATAATCACACAACTCCTATTTTGGCATAGTCTAACCTTTTCTGTTATATGACAGTAATGACACAGCTATCAATGTCTCACTCATTCTCTGGATCAAGTAGATCAGGGATGGGCAACTTTGATGGGGGTGGGGGCCACAAAAAATCTGAACTCATTTTACTCAGGGGCCGCAGTTGCTCGTGGGTCTGTTCCCCCCCAGCATAGAGTTGATCAGGCTGTTGATTGTGGCCTGTGGAATGTTGTCCCACTCCTATTCAATGGCTGTGCGAAGTTGCTGGATATTAGCGGGAACTGGAACACACTGTCGTACACGTTGATCCAGAGCATCCCAAACATGCTCTGTCTGGTGAGTATGCAGGCCATGGAAGAACTGGGACATTTTCAGCTTCCAGGAATTGTGTACAGATCCTTGTGACATGGGGCCATGCATTATCATAATGAAACATGAGATGATGGCGGCGGATGAATGGCACGACAATGGGCTTCAGGATCTCATCACGGTATCTCTGTGCATTCAAATAGCTATCGATAAAATACAATTGTGTTCGTTGTCCGTAGCTTATGCCTGCCCATACCATAACCCCACGGCCACCATGGGGCACTCTGTTTACAACGTTGACATCAGCAAACCGCTCACTCACTCAACGCCATCTGCCCAGTACAATTGAAACCAGGATTCATCCGTGAAGAGCACGCTTCTCCAGAGTGCCAGTGGCCATTGAAGGTGAGCATTTGCCCACTAAAGTCAGTTACGACACCAAACTGCAGTCAGGTGAAGACCCTGGTGAGGACGACGAGCACGCAGATGAGCTTCCCTGAGAAGGTTTCTGACAGTTTGTGCAGAAATTCTTCGGTTGTGCAAACCGACAGTTTCATCAGCTGTCCGGGTGGCTGGTCTCAGACGATCCCGCAGGTGAAGAAGCCAAATGTGGAGGTCCTGGGCTGGCGTGGTTACATGTGGTCTGCAGTTGTGAGGCCAGTTGGACTTACAGCCAAATTCTCTAAAACGACGTTGGGGGTGGCTTATGGTAGAGAAATGAACATTCAGTTCTCTGGCAACAGCTCTGGTGGACATTCCTGCAGTCAGCATGCCAATTGCACGCTCCCACAAAACTTGAGACATCTGTTCCAGTGCACATTTTAGAGGGGCCTTTTATTGTCCCCAGCACAAGGTGCACCTGTGTAATGATCATGCTGTTTAATCAGCTTCTTGTTATGCCACACCTGCCAGGTGGATGGATTATCTTGGCAAATGAGAAATGCTCACTAACAGGGATGTAAACAAATTTGTGCACAAAACTTTAGAGAAATAAGCTTTTTGTGCATATGGAACATTTTGTGGGATCTTTTAATTCAGCTCATGAATTGTGGGACCAACACTTTACATGTTGTGTTTATATTTTTGTTCATTGTAATTTCATGCAATTCTTATTTTGCCATGGGGTGGAGAGGAAAATTAGCTGTTTTATCGCAAATTCCTGCAATTCTACATATTTTGTCATATGGTGGAAAGAAATGTTTGCAGTTTTTTATATGATATCTGAGTGAGACAAAATCAATGGGGGCCGCCAAGCCGGTAATTCGAACATGATAACAAGTTTAGATAGTTGGCCGCATAACTAACTAAGCAATCCCCTAAAAAAATTGCAGGCATGGGCAAATTGGGGCGGCAGGTAGCTTAGTGGGTAAGAGCGTTGTGCCAGTAGTAACCGAAAGGTCGCTGGTTCTAAACCCCGAGCCGACTAGGTGAAAAATCTGTCGATGTGCCCTTGAGCAAGGCACTTAACCCTAATTGCTCCTGTAAGTCGCTCTGGATAAGAGCGTCTGCTAAATGACAAAAAATGTTTAAAAAAATAAAAAATAATTGACTGACTATGAGTGACTGACATAATTAGAGAGAAAACTGCTGATAAACAACCAACATTTCGAAATTGCACTTTGTGTATTCTACTATTATAACTCGCAACAAACAAAAAGTTGATACCCCGACTGAGTTCCCCCCAAAAAATATATTGCTCCGAGGGCCTTCATGCAGCCCGTGGGCCGCCAGTTGCCCATCCCTGAAGTAGATAAATATTTTACTCTACTCTGAAAGTAAGACTATAAACTAACTGAGCCCAGTTTGTCCTATACAGGCATGTGAGTGTCTGGAGCAGAAGAACAGGCAGCTGAAGAAGGAGGTGCAGTTTTTGTCTGAGGAGCAGAGGCGTCTGACAGAAGCCCTCAAGGCCCATGAGCCTCTCTGTCCCATTATGCACTGTGTTGCCAACCTGGGGTTAGGGCCTTTGGGGCCCAGGGATGTAGAGGTCCCCTCCTGTCTGCCCAGATAGCCACTATACCATGCCAGGACCACAGAGACAAACCAACGTGGGAGACTTAATAGGTCACATTATATGTCCTCATCTGCTCTTTTTATTCTCTGCGTCAATTATTATTGTACAGCTTGAATCAAGTTGTAATCAAATAATTATAGGCTGAAGTAATGATCTTTGTTTCAGATGTTCAAATTGCTTTTCCTGTTTAAATGTTTTGTACAATACATTGCACATAAATTGCATATCCCTTTCCCATGAGACCATTTCCCTTTGCTTCTGATAAATGTGGTTACTTGTGTTTTGGTTAACCAAACTGGTTTACCGTTACCTGGGTTTGACCGTGTGGGAACTTACTTATACTTTACCAGAAAAAAATTAACCATTAAAATGTTTCTGGTTTCTTAGTCCCTAATCTAAAACATTTAATACACTGGCTATTACCAATGGATTTATGCAATTCAACACTTAATTTATAAAATTACAGAATCAAATCACTTAATCCAAATATCATATTTACAGTATTATTATTATTGTTTGTTAGCTCATGTTATTACATTGTTATAGAGTGTACCCACCCTCTCTTTCCTATAATGTGGGTAAATACTCACTAACCTCATTACGTCTTCTTCTCATAACTTAAAAAGAAATTGTGAATTTTGAAGCATGCCATTATCATTCACTAACTCAATAAAGGGGGAAAAAGATTGGGAATTCTTGTCACCATCAATGATCTACAGTATGTATGGTCTATCTTGATGACATGACTGCAGGCTTCTCTCAAATGTTATTATGAATGGATGGATACATTCCTAGTAGTAATTGGCAAGGCTTCTTCTACTAAATGCAGGCTGACCACTGAGAGACGTGAAAGACTCTTCAGCCACACAGGCAGTGCATTTCATACCAGAGGAATCTATAGACTTCTGCATACTGCATTTGAGGGTGATTGTGGTGATTATAATAAAGCCTTTTGTGTGGATCGCTTCTTCATACCGGTATGCACTTCTTCTTAGTTATTTTCTCTTCTAACTTTCTCTTCTCACTTTCAAATGAGCACAGACTACTTGGACTTCCACCACACAACACAGAGGATACTACTTTCAGTTCAGTCCAGGAGATTTTAGGGCATAATGAGGTATTTCACATGCCATCTTTTATGCTCTTAGTAAGAATATTAGTTTACACATTCATATAATAGTGTATTTTTCTTTCCAAAAAAAATTGTTTCCCCACACCAGATACAAACATACACCTACGAACAACTTACAGATGCACACAAACAATGACTACATCTCATCTGCCCAGACTCGCATGTTCACATGTTTGCCACTTTTTTCTTCTTTTTTTCACCTTTATTTAACCAGGTAGGCCAGTTGAGAACAAGTTCTCATTTACAACTGCGACCTGGCCAAGATAAAGCAAAGCAGTGCGATAAAAACAACAACAACACAGAGTTACATATGGGATAAACAAAACATACAGTCAAAAACACAATAGAAAAATCTATATACAGTGTGTGCAAATGTAGTAAGTTATTTAGGTAGGGAAATAAATAGGCCATAGTGCAAGAAGATGATGTGCAAATAGAGATACTGGGGTGCAAATGAGCAAAATAAATAACAATATGGGGATGAGGTAGTTGGGTGGGCTAATTACAGATGGGCTGTGTACAGGTGCAGTGATCGGTAAGCTGCTCTGACAACTGATGCTTAAAGTCAGTGAGGGAGATAAGTGTCTCCAGCTTCAGAGATTTTTGCAGTTTGTTCCAGTCATTGGCAGCAGAGAACTGGAAGGAATGGCGGCCAAAGGAGGTGTTGGCTTTGGGGATGACCAGTGAGATATACCTGCTGGAGCGCATACTACGGGTGGGTGTTGCTATGGTGACCAATGAGCTAAGATAAGGCAGGGATTTGCCTAGAAGTGATTTATAGATGACCTGGAGCCAGTGGGTTTTGAGACTAATATGTAGTGAGGGCCATCCAACGAGAGCGTACAGGTCACAATGGTGGGTAGTATATGGGGCTTTGGTGACAAAACGGATGGCCACTGTGATAGACTACATCCAATTTGCTGAGTAGAGTGTTGGAGGCTATTTTGTAAATGACACTGCCGAAGTCAAGGATCGGTAGGATAGTCAGTTTTACGAGGGCATGTTTGGCATCATGAGTGAAGGAGGCTTTGTTGCGAAATAGGAAGCCGATTCTAGATTTAACTTTGGATTGGAGATGCTTAATGTGAGTCTGGAAGGAGAGTTTACGGTCTAACCAGACACTTAGGTATTTGTAGTTGTCCACATATTCTAAGTCAGACCCGCCGAGAATAGTGATTCTAGTCGGGCGGGCGGGTGCAAGCAGCGTTCGATTGAAGAGCATGCGTTTAGTTTTACTAGCGTTTAAGAGCAGTTGGAGGCTACGGAAGGAGTGTTGTATGGCATTGAGGTTTGTTAACACAGTGTCCAATGAAGGGCCAGATGTATACAAAATGGTGTCGTCTGTGTAGAGGTGTATCTGAGAGTCACCAGCAGCAAGAGCGACATCATTGATATACACAGACAATAGAGTCGGCCCGAGAATTGAACCCTGTGGCACCCCCATAGAGACTGCCAGAGGTCCAGACCACATTCCCTCCGATTTGACACATTGAACTCTATCTGAGAAGTAGTTGGTGAACCAGGCGAGGCAGTCATTTGAGAAACCAAGGCTATTTAGTCTGCCAATAAGAATGCAGTGATTGACAGAGTCGAAAGCCTTGGCCAGGTCGATGAAGACGGCTGCACAGTACTGTCTTTTATCGATCGCGGTTATAATATCGTTTAGGACCTTGAGCGTGGCTGAGGTGCACCCATGACCAGCTCAGAAACCACATGGCCTTCAATTGTACCAATTTGTTTTGTCGCCCATGCTATTTCAATATTTCAATGATAAATCATTATGCTAATGATGGCGGATTGATTGAGTTCCACGTTTTTTGTATACGTTTCTTCAAGATTAGTGATAAGAATAGAATCGTCCAGCCCATTGGGTATCTCACTACACCCCCATATGCCATGTCTTGAAATATGTAGACAGACAGATTAAAAGTACGTTTACATTGTAATACTTCTGACAGCCAACCTTATAGCTCCGCCCATAACTTTGGACTTTATAGCATTTCCAGAAAGCATGGATTATTGAGTCATTGTTAGATTTACATTTAAGACGTGATTCTGCCGTTGTTGTCACGCCCTGGCTCGGGGGACTCTCGTATGTTGAGCCAGGGTGTTAGTTTCTATGTTTTGTTGTGGGTCTAGGTTATTGTATTTATTTGTGTGAGTGACTCCCAATCAGAGGTAACGAGTGTCAGCTGTTGGCTCGTTGTCTCTGATTGGGAGCCATACTTAAACTGTCGGTTTTCACTTTGTGTTTTGTGGTTTCTTGTTCTCGTTGGGTTGTGTTCAACTGTAGACGTCACGTTTCGTTTGTTATTTTGATCGTGTGATCATTTATCTAATAAAAGATGTTCACCTTCAACGCTGCGCATTGGTCCTCATTAGACGATCGTGACAGTTGTGCTGTAGAATTTGTGAATTTTGTCTCTTGTATAATAAATTCTATACATTAGTTTATACTGGATTAAGCGTACATTTTCATTAACCTCTACGGGATCGGTGTCCCGTATACGGGACAGTTGAGCTAACGTGCGCTAATGTGATTAGCATGACTGTTGTAAGTAACAGCAAACTTTCCAGGACATAGACATGTCTTATATGGGCAGAAAGCTTAAATTATTGTTAACCTAACTGCACTGTCCAATTTACAGTAGCTATTACAGTGAATAAATACCATGCTATTGTTTGAGGAGAGTGATCAACAACAAAAAACGTATCACAGCAAAAGGTAAATAATGTACTTACATTCAGTATTCTTGCTCTAATTTGTCATCTTAAGGGTCCCAGAGATAAAATGTAGCATAGTTTTGTTTGATAAAATCAATTTTTATATTCAAATGTAGGAACTGGGTTCTACAGTTTGAACCCCTGCTGTCTCTGGCTCCACACCCACCCCGCCAGGCCATCTAGATGTGTGAAAGTTAGTGTATAAGCTAATGATCCATCATGTATGACATTCCTGGGAGTGTGTAAACTTACATTTTGTATTACTATATCATTTTTGTATGTTCTCTATAGTTATATACTTGAAAATGTATCAATTGACCAATTCTGCACATTTGGGCAGACTTGATACAAAATAGTCCAGTATCGCAATGCTTCACTGGATCAATCTGAAACTTTGCACACACACTGCTGCCATCTAGTGGCCAAAATAAATCTAAATTGCGCCTAAACTGCAATATTATATTGTGTCCTTTCTCTTGCATTTCAAAGCTGATGAAACAAAAAAAACCCCAGATCTAATGTGTTATATTCTCCTACATTAATTTCACATTTCCACAAACTTCAAAGTGTTTCCTTTGAAATGGTATCAAGAACATGCATATCCTTGCTTCAGGTCCTGAGCTACAGGCAGTTAGATTTGGGTGTGTCATTTTAGGCGGAAATTGAAAAAAAGGTCAGATCCTTAAGAGGTTAACTGTAATTTCATTAGTTATGTTCCAACATTCCCTCCATCTTGTGCAAAAATCAGTTATTTTTATGTCTTTGTTCCAATAGTTTAGATTTGTTTGTAAGAGATTGTCAGTTGGATATGCGCTCTGCATGGTTTTACATATCTTACCTATCATATGAACATCCTTTTCTGACTCAAGTAAGATTCCCTCAAGGTTACTCTGATGTCCAAAAGATTTCAAATCGAAATGTTGCATGTTTTTGAAAATATCTACTGTGCCTTAAGAAAGTATTCCTACCCCTTGACTTATTCCACATTTTGTTGTGTTTACAGCCTGAATTCTAAATGGATGAAATATATTGTTTTTCTCACCCATCTACACACAATACCCCATAATGACAAAGTGAAAACATGTCTTTAGAAATTTTAGCAAACGTATTGAAAATGAAAAACAGAAACATCTCATTTACA